GTAGTAGTTTCCATCCTGAAGCAGTTAATCATTGGGCTTATTTATATTGAGAAACAGTTAAAGCACTCACAAAAAAACAGAAGGCATACGATTCTATACAAAAATTCTCCAGCCACTAATATACTGGGAATATGACCACAAAATCTACAACTGTGGTGTGAAATTTTGTATGACATATGACACGAGATCTGAACTTTGTAAAGCCTCATTGCATTTTGAACAGCAAACATGCATCAAATAACAAAATAGTGTACAAATGTCTACTGTCTGGTATATTATGTGTTGCATTTTCTTTCCCAGCCAAATTAAAAAAAAAACCTTATCAAACAGAAAATTAATTAATCCATTCTATTTCTATTAAAAAATCACAGACACTTCAATATAGTATTAAAAAAGCTGTCAAAATGTATTAAAAAGCTGACAGTAACTGTATCACTCCATTTGAATACATTACAAGCTGTAAAGGGCAATAAGGTAGACAAGAAATTTTGCAGTTTAGGTAATGTAATTCTTTATAAACATGTAATACACAAGTTATTAAAGATAAGATGTTTACTTTTGAATAACATATATATATATATGCTCATGAGCTTTGCAGAGGTCAGTAACTACTAATTCATTTACAAATACTCTACTGATAAGTAGATTGATATAATCTATCAATAAGCAATGAAAAGCCTTTATCAGAATATTGAGGATCTGTACATAATAATTCTGCAATAAATGTTAACTCATTTAATGTAGTGAATTCACTCTGATGAATTTAATGTTTTATTCTAACTAGCATGATTTGAAAAGTAAAATGATTTTAAGGTCCAAACAAACAAAAATTAAAATGATTTTACCTGCACATCTGTTAACCAATCACAGTTAGCCTGCCTGTGTACCACACAAAGAGAACTCCTGAAAGGAACTAGAGTACGTCTTGTGATGTTAGTCTTTCCGATACGCACTTTTGTGAGTCACAATAAATCGTATGCACATCTTCTCCAGTTAGATCAATGTAGTTTTTCAGAAGGAGTAAATTAAACTTCAGAATATTCAGTGCAACGCAAAAAAATCCAGCACTAAAATAAATTTTGATGACTGTCATGCTCATCATGAGAAAATTAAATTGAATTCGACTTTACTGCCCCAAAGGAGATTCATTTTGTACATCAAGGGCTCATAAACATAGAAAATACATGAAAATAATACAATGCAACAACAGCACAGTACCATAATACAAAACACCATTTAACAACATGGCTCAATCAGACCTCTTCCAGTACCAGAGGATGAAAGAATTAGCTTGTAAAGAGATTAAAAACAACAACAAACTTTAGACCTTACACTGGGAAAAATTCTCCATTCAGCAGGACAATAACAAAAACTTAAGTCCAGAGCTACACTGAAGCTGCTTATGAATAAGAAAGTAAATGTCCTTGTGAGATTATCAAAGTCCTGGCTCAAATCCTTTTGAAAATCTATCGGATCCTGCAGAAATCTGCTGTTCATAATATTCAAACTGCGTCAAGACAGCTGGGAGACAACATTTTTTTCCCCTCTTCAGTATCCCCGTGTGTGGGAACTGTAATACGAGTGAGCCTGAGCTGCTGTAGAAGAGAAATCCACCACCTTTCCCTCACAGACACACCTATTCATGCTACTGTAGCTCACTTCAGAGATCCTCAAATATCCAGCTCAGGGTCTCCAGCCATCTGATTTCCCTTCTGAGGAGGGCTGGCAGAAAACAGGCTGCAGATTACCTGATCCAGCTCATAGAGTATCAAGACAATATGCAAATAAACAAGTAATGCAGACATGTAAACAATTTTTGCAATAAATGAAATTACAATGAGGTAGATGGTGTAAGTGTGGTCCAAAGGGCATGGCCAAATGTGTTCACCAATCACACTGCTTTTTGGTAGAAGCTAATGAAGAGGGTGTCTATAAGCTCTTGTATCTCTTACCTGATGGCAGTGGGGTGAAGAGCTCATGGCCCGGGTGGCGACTGTCCTCTGTGATGGCCAGATTTCTACAACGGCAGTGATCCTCATAGAGCTGTTTAATCTCGGTGATCGCAGCCGATGATCTTCTGGGCCATATTGACCATTCTTGAGGCACCTCAAGAAATAAAGGCGCTGCTGAGCCTTCTTCATGATAGAGTCAGTGTTCACAGTCCAGGTTAGATCTTTAGAGATGTGAATTCCCAAAGACCTCAAGTTGGTGACTGTTTCCACTTCCGTTCCATCAATATTGAGTGTGCAGCCTCTGTCTCCGAAATTCCACTATTAGCTCTTTTGTTTTACTCATGTTCAAGTCCAGGTTATTGCTATAACACCACCTAAGCAGCTGTACGACTTCATCCCTGTAAGTGGACTCGTCATGATCGCCGATCAGGCCTATTATAGCGGTGTTATCCGCAAATTTAATGATGCAGTTGTGTGGTGTCTTGCTGTGCAGTCGTGACTGAATAGGGAGTACAACCTTGGACTCAGACAGCAGCCTTGAGGGGTGGCAGTGCTCAGGGTGAGTGGTGTTGATGTTTTATTACCTCTCTGCACCACCTGTGTTCTCTCAATTAAGAGGTCCAGCAGCCAGTTGCAGAAAGAGTTGCATAGTCCTAGTCCCCTTAGCTTTGTCACCAGTTGACTTGGTATGATGGAATTGAATGCTGAACTGTAGTCCAGAACCAACATTCTCACATATGAGTTCTTAGTGTCCAGGTGGTCCAAAGCTGTATGCAGTGCTAGGTTGACGGCATCATCCACTGATCTGTTGTTCTGGCAGGCAAAACTGCAAGGGGTCCAGAAAAGCTGCTAGTGCGTGAGAGCATTCTAAGACACAAAAACTCATTTGCTAAAAAGGGTTTCAGAGCTGTAAAAAACATTACTTATTAACTAAGAAATTATGAATTTGCAAAATGACTTACAATCCCTGACAATAATTGCCCTCATCTCATACAACAGATTTCAAAAACACTATTTATAAAAATACATAATGTATTGCTTTTAAGATACAGATTCTTTTTCAGAGTTTTTATTTGTAATTACTTTTCAGAATGTATGAAATTGTGTTAAACTGTACAAATAAAGATACAATCAATTCTGATTGAAGGTGTCTGGATTTCTGGTAAAGAACATAGAAATAAGGAAAGATCCAATACAATGATAGAAAATACCTTCAATAACAGGAAAAAACGGTTTAGATACACAGGATGCAGACAATACAGTATACACTGCATGCTGAGATCCATGAGTGGGGATGACATATGTAAGGAGCATCGAAGAGAAATAGGTGTGTAAACTGTGATCATTTAAGACAAAAGACACAGTAACTTACAAATTAGGGAAGGGGCTAGAGGATTTGTGGTAAAGTATAGCTAGTAGTAACTGTATTATAAGGGAAAGGGAAAACAACAAAAAAAGTTATTTTATTGCCCAATACTCTTAATGTTACAGTTGCACATGGTAATCACCACAAGGAAGAGCAGGTTTAAATCATGTCTGTGGACAAACTTTATTTATTTTAAGGACAGTATTGTTTTGTCTTAAAGAATGTTGACATGTACATGAACATGTTCACATATTTGTTGTTGTAACAAGTGTTGTAAATGTGTATTTTATAACTCAGCAATGTTACATCCTGCAGCATGTTTCTGTTCATTAACACTGGAAAGCACCTGAAATGAGCTGAAGTAAAACACAGTTTTTAAGAGATATTTGAAATATTTTTCTGGAAATATCATTTCAACCCTAAAATTCTGGTACAAATAAACGTGTGGACTGGATTTCGAAGCCATCATCGCAGGATCAGGGCTTGAGTGGAAATTAACAAAACTGTTTTTGTGTGTTATAAAACAAATAATAGTTACGAAAATCACCAATACTGGTAAATTAATTGATAAATAATAGAAACACTGTTAAAAAATAATTAAGGCAACTATAAAGCTGCTTTTAATGTTTTTTTCTGAGAATGTAGTAAATATTGAAAAGTTTATAAAGTTTGCCAATTCTACACAAAGATAAAGCGATGGTATTCGGTAATGGAGGTTATAGCCAGCTCAAAGAGGGTGGCTTTCCAGATGATAATTTGTAAACTCATTATATGTGTAGGTATAACACGAAATTCTGTGAATCGTGTCACTGTTAGAGGGCTTCTCTAGCCATGAAACTGTCAGCTACACCACTGTCCTTGATCACGTCTATGAATTTTTTCAAGAAACCAAACAGCACCTTCTTTTAGACGTCAAGCTCAGGAGATTTATGTTCTGAGTCTTCTTTCACCCCATGATGAGCTTTCCTTTAGGCAGAGCTGTTTGCAGAAAAGAGAGTGGGAGTCAAGAAAACAAATTAAAAACAAATGTGTGTGTGTCCTTGTGGAAAAATAAAGCAGGAGCCCAGTTCTTGTTGTCTGGCATGGTCATTTACCCATCTGTGCCCTGGAAGTCCCACATGGGCTTTTTCCAGAGCACTTCATGATCTGCTCAGACCCTAGCAAAGCACAGGGGCCTCTCAGCCCTCTCCTGAAGACCACTGCTTGTCCTGGTACCACAGCCCACTCTTACTGCCCCTTCCCTGCTCCATCCATCTTGTCTGGAAAACAAAAGAGCACAAGTCAGTGCAGGAGTGGGGCCACCTTCTGTAGCTGTGTCTTGAAGGGTAAAAACAAGGCTGGGGCAACTTGTTCCATACTCCCACAACCCTTTGTGTAAAGAAATGCCATTCCACATAGTTTCCCCTCGAGCTTCCTGGATCACGATTCACTTCTCATTCCAAAGCAGGCTGCCATGTTGATCTTATCAATAGTCACTTTTGACACTGGTACAGATTTTCAGCAAAGGCCTGTTGTACATAAAACCCCCCCAGAGTTGAAACAGGAACACGGTTCTTCTGTGCGCATGTTAAGGTTTCCCAGCACTGTGTAACTTGGAAGCGAGTGGGTGGGGATGAAGGCGCGGCTGACATGCTCTGCACGACTACCATCATGACCGAGCTGACCGCATGACCAATCGAGGACACCCCTCTGTTTCTAGAGGGACTTGTCCACCAGCTGCCAGGTCCGGACAGTACATACCTTTGGGGACAAATTTGAGTGAGCTGCTGAAGATTCAGAAGCGGGACAGCCCATCCTTGGGCCCATCGTTCAGGAACTCATGGCCCAGTCCATTCCCACACTTCCCACAAGACACCTAGAACACAGAGCCACTGCGGTCAGCGGGGGAACACAGCCCCAGCAGTCCCACCCTCTCCACTGCCAAAGAGCAAATCTGTTCTGGGGAAACGCAACAATATTGCTGCAGCATAAAATCAGGTTCCGACGTTATCCTTTTTACATTGTTGAAATAATGCAAAACTATCTGATAGGGTTATTATTTGATTTTTTTTTCTCAGAAAAAAACCTCTTTCGTGTGGACTAAAGCGAACAAGCTAAGCATTTCGCCTGGATGTCTCGCAGGTGGGATGAGGAAGCTCTCACCTTTAGAGCGCCCGGCCTCTCTACGAACTTGGACACGCTGTCCTCCTGAAGGGTCTCGGTGAAGGCGGGCCAAGGGGATGAGTGCTCGTACTTGGACCTGCTAGAAAACAGCTTGTGGCCACATTTCGCACACAGGTAGATACCTTGAGAAAGGAGCAGTCATTACAGCTGATTAAAAGCACGAAACGCGGAGCAGGCGTTAAGACACTCGACACCACAGCCGGTTTTGTATGCTGCGGGGTTGTCTTTGAACCGCACTGTGAGAAACACGGCGGTCCGTCCCCTTAACTAGCTGAACGTATCGTCACTTTAACTTATTAATATAATCTAATATTTTTTTACAAGTTTTGGAGACAACGATTGGTGGAAAAAATCGTGTACATCTTTTTGGGGGCTACCTTGTTTGCACTGTTCTTAAAATGTCCCCCCAAAAAATAAAAGACGAAAAATTTCGAAAACAGCAAGAGAGATCTCTCTTGCAAATAATCGCTTCACCTGCATACCGACCGAAGGTCTAATATCGGTTTATATTCAGTTACGTTATTCGCAGCATATTATTAATAGCTATCCTTATGGATGTGGCATAAAAGAAGTTTGATTCTGTCTTCTTGTTGCTGCTCATTTTTCGTCTGTTAAACCCACTGACACTGTTACGAAACGTACTGGGCACTAGTTATATCACATTACCGACCAAACTTGAGATAAAAATACTTAAAAATGCACCCGCTTACCCGGCTTGAAGTGATCTTTATAAATCTCGTCTCCTAGGAAAGAGCAAAAAGACATTTTGCAAAACTAAAAAGTTGCCGTAACTCTCTGATTTCAGCTGAAACGTAACTTTCGAGCGTCTTGTTTGCAAGCGTCTACCAGCCCGCAGGATCAGGTGGCCAGACTCAGATCACGTGACGGGGGGCTTCTCCTGTAGCGTATGACACAATCACTGACGCTAGATGGCAATGATCCATCACTTCTGCCAAAAGGCTATAGCTTCTTGGTGAAGGTCGTAGCTCCTTTCGTTTGTAAAGGCACGGTTTATGTGATGCAATTACTCGTGCGCTGGTTTTGAAAATGTTGCACCAGAGATCACCACCTGCTGGTACAGTAACATCACGTTTTTGTTTTTCTTTAGAGGTTTGTGTCCCATCTCAGGCTTGTCAATCAAATCCCTAAGGTGTCTCGGTGACATGGTTAGTATGCTCTCCGTGATGGTGTTCTTAAGTTTAACTGTAGAAGATGTTAGCTGATAGATGTGGTTTGCGTTGAGGTCTTAGACAGCTCTCTCTCCAGTCTCTCACTGCCTCAGCTTCAGAACAGCCCTGCTAAAACATCTTGGATCAGAATCTACCAAACTGCTGCACAAACCAAATAAGTCTGCCTCACCCCCTGGGACACACAAACACAGCACAAATCGGGATACTCCGGGGCCCTTAGTAGTCAATATATATGGGCCAGGAGGGAGACAACAAGCAGAAACAGACCCTGACAGGCTCAGAGCTCACAGACTGGACAACAAAGGCAAACCTGGCTAAGAGAGAGGACAGGCTGTGCTCCTACCACCAGCAGGGAGAAGCACAGAGATGCACTTTCTGCTGCACTGCACGAAACGCTCAAGAATCATATACACATTCTTCCTAAAATTAACAAATTAAATCCCAGAATTCTCACACCTGACAAAAGCACAACAGCTATCAATCCTAATGGGGTAGAAGGGAGAAAACTCATTAGAGATGCAGCCTAGTTTGGGATCTCTTGTCACAGCCTGAGGAACAGAAAATGACCCTCTCAAATAATTATTAATAATAATAATAATAATAATAATAATAATACTATAAGTTATTTGATGTAAATGTTCTACTAACTGCTTTTGCTTTCATAAGTTTTTCAAGTTTAAATCATTAGACAAACTCATAATAGATGTTTTAATTTAAGTTTAATTTTGAAAGATGGCACAGGAGATACACAGTACTGTATGTGTTTGCCAATCTGTGCTAAATAATCCTGCCCAGAAAAACAATAAAAAAATGTGTCCCCTCTTTTTGAAGTTAACTCCCAAAATCACTGAAACAAGTTCAACTTGAGACATTCTTTTTTCTGTTTTCCTGGATAACATTTAATCACGTTTAATAACTTCTATTAGAAGCAGTAGTCAACTCCAGTTTAGACAAAAAAGACCAGCCACTCAGAAATGTGATACCAAAAAGATGGTTAGATATTTTTCTTACTACATATTTCTAACATACATAGTCCTTCTTAAAGGGAAACTGCAACAACATTTTTATATTTTGTGGTTAAAAAAGAATCAGCATTGATGAGTGCCTTTTAAACCACAATGAAAGTTAATGTGCACAGTAACTTGTAAATCTTTCCAATTTACATCACTAATTTAGACCAAATTTCCAGGTATGCGTAATACCATGTTTTGGGATTCAGAACCAGGCAACCAAACATTTTATAATGTATTCAGAGCAATATTTCTATTTTTATTAAAAAGAAATATTGCTCTCTACTTCTAGACAGTTTTGCCAACAAATACTGCTTATTTGTTAACTCTGCAAGCAGATCATGTTAGAACATTTCTGCGGTAAAATGTCTGCTATACAACCAATACTTATTCAGTTGAACAGACACTAGACACCACCTGGGAATCAGTGAGTTTTCTCTTCTCGCTGCCCCCACGAGCTTGTCTGGGGTTTAACCTGTTTAACCTTGTTCCTCTTCCCTCGTGGAAGTCCCCTTTTCTGATCTCAACCAGGCTGCATCTAAAAATCATGCTTGATAAGCAAAAAACAAATTCAGTCTGTGATACTAGTCTAAACAATGATGTGTGAAATATTTGAAAAAGAAGATAAAAACGGCTGTGCCTAACAGCTACAGCAAGATAAATGTTGTAAGGGTCATTTAAAATTTGACTAAAATGTCCACTCATATTTATTAAATCCTCCCTAACTGCAGCAAATACTGATATAAGCATCATCAAGATGGGTGAGTTCTTCTCACCTTGTTGGCCAATGGACTGCTCCCCATTGCCAGAAAGACCCAGTCTGTGCTTCCCTCTGTCCGAAAAGGGACAGCAGTGCCCAGCTGGCTCCTGTCAGAGGAGGTGTCCCATGCACAGCGCTCTTCCTTTTGTCCTGAAGTGGGGCTGTGTGTGGGGCCCAGGAATTGTGTTGCCAAGGAAGTGCTGAGAAGGGCAGAATTATCTGCCTGCTCCTGGAGAGAATTGTGCTGCGGCAGCATGTTTCATCGCAGCAATAAACGAAGCATCGCTAATTAATCACTCCCATCCTGCAATCAACCCTAAATATCCCCAGTCTCTTCCCTGCTTTCCAGCTGCAGGAAGCGAGAGTGAAAGGTCACTAAGCTTTCTCTGGGGTACTTCTTACTTGTTGTCTCTGTTTGTCTAACGCCCAGTGTGGATCGACACCATAGACCTGAACAAGTGCTGCTCTTTTAAACTACCACACCCGGTTCTTCCTACACTTCCCACATACTAAAAGATCACATTTTGACTAAAATATGATTTGTGAAAACAGAAAAAACTCTAGGCTGTAGTGTTTAACGATTTGTTAAAGAGGCAGAATCTCTTTTGTGACAGCCTGGCAGCTTGTAAATGGCAGTTCTTGATCGGTTCAGTTTTGCTTCTTCAAACTCCATTCCAGCACAAGGGTGAAAGACTTTTCTCCCTCTGTTCCATAAAGGAAAACATTGTAAAGAAGTCACACACACCTCTGCTGTTTGACACCGAGTACCTGTGCAGAACGGGTATTATTGATCAGAAAAGAGACTCAGGTCTACCTTACAACACTGTAGGCTCCCAGGTGCCCAGAACGTGCCAGGGGTCACGGTTGCCAGGGAATGACCCTGTGCCCAACCCAAGTTCCCCAGGCCGGGCACTGCAGCCGGGAGAATCCTGGACATGGTCCAGGAATCAATCATTGCTCCAGAAGCATGTGGACTGCTGGGATCAGCCACAGTTCCAGAAAGAAAAAAAACAATACTGGTAACATGTTAAATCAGAGAAGTGAGGTTCTGTTTGCATTCATTGTACATATGACTTTTTCCTATTGAAACAGAGTCTTAAAGTTTATTTAATTTAAAACTATTATTATTATGATGATGATACCAATATTCTTGCTTTAACTGGTAGTAGTAGCAGTAGCTGAAGAACAGGCAGACTACAGCTGTAACCAGTCTATTAGCAGCAGAATCAGAAGTTCAGAAGAACCTGGCAGGTGACTCAGTTGTCAGATGTCCTTCTCTGGGCTCTTCTGAGGAGCACTGGGGAGCTGGAATGTTTGTCCACACCCAGTTTCCGTCTCAGGGCATCAGCAGTGGCAGGAGGAGGTGCTGGATGTTTTTTTTTTCATCAGTGAGGAGGACTTCGTACAAGAGCTGTGCTCGGCTCCTGTGAGAGAGATTGCCTCTGTGGACCAGTCCACTCTCTGTCAAGCCTGAAGAGCTAAGTGGATCTGCAGCTCATCAAGGGAGAATGTAATACTTGCATATGAAATACTCAGTCACAGAATGGTGTTACAGCAACAATAATAATTCCTCACATTTATATAGAAGTCTGCATCCCCAAAGCACTTCAGCTATAGAATAGAAGGAGCTCACTTCAACCCCCAGTTGATGTCAGAAATGACCTCTTTAATTAAATTAAGAGGAACTTCAGGGAAGTCAGATGTACAAGTCTAGGGTATAACACCCTACTCATACAGCCTGAGTCAGAGCATAATTTATGGTCAAGGAGATAGGACACCAGCTTAACATCTTCAAAATAGGGCAGCTCTTACAGCACACTGTCCCCAGTCACCAAAAATCCTATTCAAAACACAGTTTGAATTGATACAGTGACAAGTGGTTCTGTGTCAGATGTCACAATTGTTCAATATACAATGTACTATATTAACACCTCCAGTGGAAAACAAACTTGTTTCTTTCCTTAACACAGTAAATGTGTTAATTTTAATCTCTCACAACTATTCAGATCAATCGAACAAGTAATAGGTTTATTCCATGCTGAAAAAAAGAAGAAAGAAAATCCAATGTTTTGGCCGTGGAGCCTTCTTCAGGTGTTGAGATCATTCAGATCTTCAGATTCAGATCAATAATCAGATCAGTCAACAGCCTCAGTTTAAATTGTTCCTATTTGCTAAATGAGCTGTGACCCATAACTAAGCAAACCTTTGCTAAATGCTTGTTTGTAATGTCATTTACATTAGGTGCAATAGCAAGGTTTCTATACTGCAATTACTGCAGCAAGCAATTTATGTTCATGCTACTGCAGGGTGATTAGGCTACACATACTTCTCAATAGACAAATGACAGTGATCTGATATTTATTTAAAGAGTACTATTCTTTATTTGGGTGATACTTGCATCCAAAGCATTTTACTTTTGTTCTCATGTATAGAGCTGGGTTTTTTACTAGAATAATGAGGGTGAGGTCTTCACTCATGTTATGGATAACACCAGTTAACACCAGTGTTTTAGCTTGGATTTGATCCCACAACCTTCCAGGTGTCAAGTCTGAAAGCCTGACCACTGCTCCACATGTCCTTCTTGCCTGTCTGGAAGAGGGTCTCTTCACTGACTGCTGCCTCTCAAGAGGGGCAGGGAGGGGTCTGTGCTCTGTATGGCTCCTGTTCTGTGCTTCCTGATAGATGGGGTAGGTGGTGTTGCTAGTGCTTCAGCTGGATCTAGCACACATGTTCTATGCTAGGAGGACAATTCTGGAGCACGTCTGTCACCGGCACAGAGCCGGGTCTCTCCTGGCCTTCTACCACAATGGGGAACAGGTGTCACTCCCACAGGACCTCAGAGCTTGCTTCATACTGCGTGGCTCTTCAGCAAAGCAGTACAGACACGAAGTGCAGTTCGAAGAGGCGGAATCACACAGTTGGACTGGGAGGAAGGCTTTGCTGTACACAAGGCGCACAGAGCACTGCATGTCAGTGTGTGGGTGGAGAGGGTACTGAGGGAGTGGGACTCAGCAGAGGGCTATGTAGAGAGAAAGGGGATTGCACGGGGCAGGTTATCAACATTTAATCCGGATTAGAAGGCACTCAACCACACACCCGCCTCCGCCTGCTGTAAATCCCAGTTGGAGAGGCACGGAGGTCGCACGTAGAAGCATTTCTATTGGATGGGGGGGAGGCGGGACAGAGTGGAAGACAGGGAGAGTATATAGTGAGCGGAGGAGGATTGTGGTGCTGTCTGATTCCCATCGCCTGTGAGGAGTTTTTTTTCTTTCTCGCGGATGGGCTGTGGGCTGCCGAGCAGAGCGAGATGCGCAGCCGGTGTGTGAAATCGGGACAGCGCAGCGTGCTGCTGTCTGTATGACACGCAGCCTCGCTCCCTCCTCAGCTATTTCAAGCGTCGCATTGCCAGAGACCGGCAGCGCGGGCGGTCAGTTCTTGCCACGGTGCATAGGCAGTTGCAGCGACCCTGGAAAGGTGTATTGCATTGGGCACTTCGTAGTAACAGGAATCCCCGCAGTGCCTAGAGCTGCAGCAGAGCACAGGTTACACAAGCAAAGCTACTGTTACGGCTTCGTTTTCGCAAAAAAGGGAAGAGAGAAACAAGATTGCGGTGGCGGAAGTTCAGTATAAGTTCGTTCATTTTATTACGATTCATCCATTTCCTAATTAATGTTTTTTTTTTTATCTGGGTTTTTTTTTATCGAATTTGGACGTCCAGAGCCGTTCCGCTGCAGAGCTTAGCGCGTGCCTGACGGGCTGTAGCTCTCGGACACGCTCACCTGCAGCACGCGGCCGCGCATCTGGACTGCAGTGAACATCTGGGGGCTCCGCCGAACAACAACAGCAAAGTGTACGCGGGCAGGCTTTCCCAAAACCTGGCACCCCCTCGGCACCCCGCAGCGCAGTCAGAGGGAGAGAGAGAAATCGGGGGAGCCGCGTGCACTGGTGTGGTCTTGATGGTTTTGCACAGGTGAGTTCCCCACGCGTTGTCTACACACAGGGCAGCGAGTGTGTAGAATGGGTTTAACGTGCGCAGACCCCTCTCGGGTAAGAGATAAGATCCATCCTATTGCTATTATCTATGGAGCAGGAAAGTCGGAGATGTATATTTTACGATTTTTTTATTTGCCCCTAGATTTACCCCAAGAGAGTTCACAGTCAGTAACGGGCAATTCAAGCCTGTCTTTCGTCCTCTTCTATACCACTTTAGTAAAATGAGTGCATGAATGATTCGTTGTGTATAAACCATGCACCCATTCTCATATACTATATTTATACAGGAATGTGATTTGCTCTTTCAGCCTGTCAGGCTCTTCAAAATCATATCTCCTTGCACCAACAAGCACTGAAAAAGAGCGTTAAAGGTGCCAGCTTTTCAATCTCCTCAAGATCACATTTGTCCGATGCAATGGCAGGGAACCTTGAAACAGAAGGTCACTTAATACCCGGCAGGTGTCACAATTCCAGAGCAGAGAGTTCTGGACAAACTCTAAATAAAGCAGGCTGTATTTACTGGTGTCACTAAAATTGTCCCTGAGTGCTTGTGTTGTTATGGACTGGCGTCCTACCTAGAGTGTAGTCTTGTCTTACCTCACTGTATTTGTTGGGTAGCATCTAGTGCTGCTCCTGTCTTACCAGCACTTTCTGATAATGCTTGACTGAGTGGCACTTCCTACTTCTGAAACAAAAGCCTTCAGAATATATCTCCCATGATGTGACCACAAAATCCACAAAATTGCATGGGGTCAAAGCAATCAAACATCATTGTGAGAGTGACTGACAAAGGAAAAATGTTTTGTACTGTATGAAGAACATATAAATACATGGAAAGCCTTGCAGATACTATAAACAGTTGGAATGTTGTTTCTAGTTTTTTTATATACATTTCAGGCAAAACTACACAGTACAAATCTAGCAGTTAGCTAGTCAAATTAAGATAGTCATGTTGTGGGAAATCATCTGCCCAGATTATTTTAGCAGGCTTCAAAAGCAAAAGCACTAGAGAGAGATACACAGGCTGTTAATCTGTAGTGATGGCAGAGTCTAATAGCCTGGCCTGCACTCTGCCCTAAAGACACCGAAGTCTAGGTCAACACTGGCAGAAGGAGGCAGAGATGAGATTAGGCCATGAAACATACTTGTCCAAATCATCTAGATTGCTTGTCTAGTGTAGATTAAGAGGAGTAGCAAAATGATTGTAAAGCACAAAGTGGTCATGGTTTTCTGTAGTAGGCTGTGCCAGAATCAATTAGGACAGATACATTTGATTAATTGTGAAAATTGCAATGGTCCTAGATGTACAATATAACAGTGTTATGGTTTACATAAACATCTTTTTAACTGCAGATTTACAAGGAAGCCAAAGATTGTGTGGAAGTCTAAACATTTATTAAGTTTGAGGACACTTGGCATAACTGGCTGGCTGAGAGCAATCCTCCCTGCCATAAAACGAGCAGGCTAGGACCTCCAAGCTCGGTGAAAAGGCAACCAAGGGGTAGCTGTAAGTGGAAATGGGCTGGAAGAGGGATGCAAAAGTGAGCGAGGAAGAGGAGAGGCAGCTGTGTGGTATATCTGGGAAAGAGAGGTAATTACAGTACATCAGGATTAGTTGTCAAATTGTGGCAGCTGAGCTTAATTTGTTTGGCTGCCTTCATCCCCTCCAAACTTTTGTTAGAACTCCATTGCTCAGTGAGGAAGTTAAAGTCAGAGAAATGTTTGGTTTTTAAAATAAGCAATGCAATACCCATGACGCTCTTACTTACTGAAGGGTTGGAAAAGAATCCACCCACTGGCACATGTCTTACTGACTGAACAAGACTGAATCAGATCAGTCAGGGGTCTGTACACCCCCTGTACAGGAGGTGCGGACAGTTTGCCTGGGGGATGCTCCTTACTGCGAGACTTTGAACCAGGATGCCAGCAATGACAGGGATGGGTCAGGCTCTGGCTTGTTGTCCAAATCCAAGTGACCCAGAAGAACCACAAGGTGACTTGGCTGCGGCCCTGAAAGCAAACTGCTTGTCTTGAGGAATTAACGGAGCTTGTTAAATCTAACCTCCTCCGCAGCTCTGTCTCGCTTTAACTTTTAATCCACATACTGCCACCATTAAAACAGACAAAGTGATACGTTTAGCTAAACTTCAGTGTTATTTAGGATCCCAACGTGTTCAGGGCACAAAACGTGCTTGGTTCATGGGCTATTTCAGCAGAAGGTTACAAAATAAGAAATACTGAACACTTTTAAAGAGCTTCACACTAAATACATTAACACTATTATAATGCTGCTACTTTTAGCGTTTCTTAGGAATTTGGTCATTTGCTAACCTTATGGGGCACACTTAATGAACGTTCTGTTTTTGATATGTTCCGCAAGAGCCCGAGCTAGGGTTAGGGTCTGAACAACACCTAGACAATTTGTGATGCATTTGCCGTGCTTCAGGATGCATGTGAAATGCAGGAAAGGAGTTCTTTTGTTGTTTCCTTGAAAATGACATTTGGCCCAATTTAGCTTTTTTTGCTAAGCCGCGCGCCTGTCGAAAAAAAATGGTCAACAATCAATATTTTCTAAACAGACTTTCCAAATGCTAAACTTTCTTTTTTTTACATTTTAAGAAAAGGCCCTGACATCACGCTGACTCTCTTTGCTATGGGGACAGCCCGGTATTGCTTATTAGAGAGAGGAAAATGTATTGTCACTAGCAAATGTAATATCCCCTTATAAAATTATCACAAGCTGTTACTCTCAAAAGTCCTTATCCCAGGATAATCTTAGTCAGATATGAAAACAATGTCCCAAATACAGATACAAACTGGCACAATAAGAGCAATCATATTTTGTTCACATCTTTTTTCTTCTAAAACAATTCATTTAATTCCCTTTTACATAAGTCAGCATGAACCACATTTGTGATGTAATGGGGAATTATGTAACTGTGTGATTATCAGAATGAAATCAGATTTATTAGAGGGAGACAAGCAGGTGGCCATGAAGAGTTTTAGAGGACTGATAATCAACAGGCAGCATGTCTCTGCTGATGTTATTCCTGAAGACAGTGTTTATTCTGCAGGGTGTATTATTCTATTATTGCAGATGTGAAAGAGATGCTCAGGATGATTGATGTGACTACTGGACACTGCCTTGATATGAAGAGAACAAGAAGTGAGAAACACCAGTTCCTTTTGCATTTGCTAGAGGCTGTTTCCCAGCAGTCACAGCTGGTTCCCACCTCTCCCCACTCTGGGTTAGAGGAGTGTGGTTAAGGAGCAGAGCAGGGTTTTGGCAAACAAGCCTCAAGTTGTTATCATTTTCATTTTTGTTTTCCTACAGTTTGTGCTGAAACCCCAGAGAGAATACAGAATAGAGCTCAACAGGCAATGTTCAATGTCTTTATGACTTTATCAACCTCAGATGCCAGCATTCGTCCCTTTGTTGTTTTGAAAAGCGCTCTAGCTAAATGAATGGCACAGGAATGGGGACCTGAAACCCGCGTGTGTGCGAGCGTGCCTGCAGGTGCACACACTGTGGAGAGGACGGGCCTCTGGGGAGTCACATCAGTCCTCCTCGCCGATCAGCTTCCCAGGACAAGAACGAAAACAGCACTTTCAGAGCCTCCTAGAAATGAAGGAGCGCACTGTTTGGTGTTTGGGGATCTGGGGGGGAACAAAAGGTGTAGGAGCAGAAGCCTGGCTCGGTATTTCTGAAAGGGGTCAGCCAAGCTCCATTTTTAAATGGGCTCCCTTGGCCTGTCGTCCGAAAATGTCACCTGTTTCGAGTGTAATTATAGGACAATATTTCCGTATCCCATAGGTACTGCTGTGCGATTATCAAACAATATGAAGTAACTGTCTTCTGTCTACTTCAGAGGTTTAGTTTTCACTCTAGCTCTAAATTAAACTTGATTATTTGCATAATTAACCCAATTTAGCTCTTTTCTGGATGAAGACGATGATTAAAAGAGACAGGAAATCTACTCAACAGCAGCCTAAAAGGGCCATGCTCGATACCCTCTGTCCTACATTATTGTAGGAAATTTGTTAGACATTATTCTAGCAAAGAAAGTCTCTTGCTTTAAATACTAGGACTACAGGTAATCACTTTACATTATAAATTATATTATTTCTACAACCTGTCTTGGCAATTTTATTAACTACATATCTGTTAAAAAACTGAATACATACATACAATTGTATTTAGTCCTGAGAAGTACTTGACAGCCAGTCAGTCAAGAATTATTTCAAATCTTCAAAGGGATAATTAATATGAAATTGTACTCCAATAATCCAATATTATATATAGCCTGTACCTCATCTTTAACAAGGGAATTGATGTTTGATCATACTCTGCAGTGATTACCACCACCAACCAGGGGAAGAAAAGGGAAGGGATGCAGACAGTTAAAGCAATAAAAAAGAAATCTGAATAGATTAAAGAGGAGCAGAATTCAAAGCAGAGGGCTGTGGCGCTTCTCATTTGTTTCGTGACTAATTGCAATTGAGTATCTCATTAATAACTACGTACTCTCATCAGGTGAATTATAGCCTAAATGCAATTCTTAAATTAAAAACGAACATTAATTTGTCAGGAAATTTAGTTTAAATATAAACAAGAAACATACAAAGTAATAACTTTATATTAACGTGGCCTACGTATTAACCTACTAATCAGATGAACTGAAATTTTCCGATGCACAGTCCCCTGCAGTTCGGGCTAATAAGTACAGCAACGCCGAGCCCAGGGAACCGGATTAGGCACAAGTTCAGATGAACTCCAACTTTGTTCCGCACGTTTTTTCGCTGCAATTGAACTCAGAGCTTGAGATGATCTCCATAAAATACCGTACTAACTAAATCGCAACTACTAACTCGGGAAGTTCGTTGCAATTGACACACGGGAACGTAACACCCCCACCCATACAAACAAACATCTAATGTTTGTTAAAGCGAGGGGAAAAAATATAGGCTATACTCTACCCCCTGCCAGGTCATTTCCTCAAATACAATGTATGCATTTGACGGGTAACAAAGGGCATACCCCACCTTTAACAAACCCCTTAACTAGGTCGCATTGCAGATGAACACGACGTAAAGGCACTTTCTTAAAACTAATTTCGATGGCTTGAACTTATGCACTGGAACCACAGAAAGACTGCGTCCGCAACAATTAACGACTGGGCTCCACCTGTATCCCTTAGTATTTGAGTTGGTTGCTAATGTTTTTGCTTACCCGTTAGCGAAACAAATCCATTCATAAGCAATGGTTTATAACTAGGGTCGATGAGATTTTTTTCGGTAGACAAAGGAATAGCAGAACGGGAAAGGTCTTAAACCCAGCACTCTTAGGATGTTGCTGCTGCTGTTTACGTTTCAGTACCACACAATCTGATATTACATGACCTCTTATGACAATAGAAACATTCACGCTCCTCTTTAGGACGTGGTGTACTAGTTAAGTCGAGATTGTGTACTAGGCGTAAGCGAATCCTTTTACACCCATGCAGACGTAAAAACATTTTTGTGGTAAGGACAAATTCTTCTGCTAGCAGTCTGCTTGTGACAAACAAACAATTTTTAAATTCCTCCAGCAAAACTAACTCACGTAATGAGTTAAAACCGTTAACTTTGCCCGCCACTTGTCAAAGAGAATGCCCTTCTCTAGCGAATTAAACGTTTGGCTTGGCACTTTCTTGTGGTTTCTAAATCTCCATCTATACGCCTCAGGAACTAGTTCGTAAGCACGTAAAATAACAGCTTTCACAATGTCATAATTCAAAATTTCCTCTAAAAAAAGTGTAGAACAAACTTCCTGACCTTTGCCCACTAGTCTACACTGTAATAGCAGTGACCAGACCTCTTTAGGCCAGCGAAGTGATTTGGCGACTTTCGACTCCCTGAATAAAGTAACTAAAACAATCTGCTTACTTACATCAAAGGTGGTCGAGAGTGGATCTTGCACAGCAAACATGATAGAGGCCTTGGAGTGGGTCGGCTGCGCAGCAGGAGCATTCAGTTCTGTTTCTAATTCAAGCTGTCGCAATTTAACTTCTTTGTCCGCCTCAATCCCTATTTTACGAATCGCAAGGCGCAACTCAGATTCTGCCTGGCGTGCCTGGGCTTTTTCCTGCGCCTCTATTTGCAAGCGGGCCAGACGAACTTTCAGGCGAGTCTCGTCTTTTGACCCAGTGGAGACGGGAGAGAATGTCTTCAGCTAACACCTGCACCTCGTCCTGTTCTACCGCGGTAAAGTCAGCTTGAAGTTCGGAAACGATTTTGGCACGCCTGTAGCGTTTTCACAAGAGCTTCAGGAGTTACGAAAACGCTTGTTTTGTGTATAAAGTACATTGTGAATGTTTTCACAGCCTTGACTTTGCCTGCCGTTTTTACGCCATTTTTTACCACACACAAATAGTCTTATATCCATATCTTCGCAAGGGAAACACATAAAGCCTTCAAACCAAACGAATTTTCAAGACCTCGACTTGTGAAAATTTTCACAATCTCTACATAAAACTATCAGTGAGCTAATTCTCTTTTTGAAAACCTCATCGATGCGTAATTGCGCACTAACCGGAATACTGCGGGACCGCTGTGTGCATACGTCTACAATACGGCAAATAATGCTCAATACGAGTTCGTGAGAAAAACCCGTATATGACCATAGGAAGCACAACAGCGCAGCCTCCAGCTATCCAGCCTGTAAGCAGGGAATAAAGCTTTATTTGATTTCTGAAACCCTTTCTTTATGTCCTGTTTTCATTCATGTAAGGGTCAACTATATACATGATACTGCTGACAGCGGGGCAATTCCTATTCTCTACTCAACAGCTTTTTGAAAACAGCACCCATGATGTTCAAAGCAATTTTTTACACAGAAGACTGACACAGCTTTGCGTTGGGAAGGCAGATCCTCTGACTTTTCCAAGCCTACTTTTTTCACTAGTCGTATATCAGACTAGTGAAATATTTAATGAACAAGTCAATGTCACACTCCCACCAATATCTCAGATAAGTGCAGATTTTATTCTGCCAGGATACTGGGTATATCGTGCTTATGTCAGTATAGATCTACGGAACTGCATCAGACCATCCAAATGAACAAATAATAACAGGAGATTTAGAATTCTTACTGAGCAGTTTATTATAATATTCAGTGCTAAGCTTCATACAGTGACCAGATTCAGATTATGGGACATGCCACAAGAGGGTTTATAGCAGCAGAAACAAGCTTTTTTTGTATTTGTGTCTGTGTGCATACTAGCAAATATCTTTGCACGTTTGTCTGTTTCCATGATGTTGGGATTGGTTTGTGCCTGTGTTTAGGTGAGCGTATGTGCATATTTTTATGTGGGAATATGTGTGTCTTTGAGTGTGCACTGCTGTGTGTGCATGTGGGGTGTGAGAGAGGGTGGTATTTTATTCCTGTCATGCATGCTGTTCTGCGTGCAAGAGCTCCTTGCCAAACAGCCCTGACAGTGATCACAGGGGCTTTTATTGGACTGTAGAGCAAATCTGGCAGCTGCCCTGAAAGTAGTTTTTGAACCATCCTTTATTTGTTCACAGAAGAGACCAGCCATAGTAACTGTGAGTCATTTAGCTCATTTTAAAACATAGTAATTGACTTGAACTGAAAGGAATTTTCATAATAGTCCTTTCTTGAATGTTTCTCTAAGGTACAGTAGACAATACATTATCAGTAATATATAAGAAAAACAAGTGCCAGAGCTCTGCTTTAATGCTCAGGGAAGGAATTGGGAATTTCATCATGTTGTCGATGGAAGTCAAGCTGAATGACTAGGAGATATGGCCTATAATCCTTCTGTGGTTCCCTGAGATATGATCACTGTGAACAGCTGAGACAATACATTTACAGCCACTAGAAAATAATGCATAACCAATATATCAGCAGCACATGGTATCTTTTGTCGTTTTGGTAGACCAAAGAAAAAAGAGTGATCAAACCAATAAAACATATTTCAGTTATTGTGCATTATCTATTCGTTCTTTCTTTTTCCATAGTGCTACAAAATGAGCTTTTTAGACCTTTCTGCAGTGCATATTTTATCTTTGTTTCTCTTATGGATCTATAAGAGGTTAAGGAGGAAACAGAAATCTCACTGCAGAGTCACTGACAGATGCTGCAGTGGGATGTTAATGAGACCTACATGGAAATCCATCCATTTGGCAGATGAATGTGCTGAGAAGGTTAAAAGCCTAGAGAGATATTTTCCTTTGATCTTCGAAGTGTTCGGCTCAGGAGCTCAGGGGAAAAACAGCAGTCGAGCTCTAATAACTCTGTGGACTTTTTGTTTTAATCTGTCAGCACACTAGATAATAAGATGGGCTGAGCAGTATCTCCCTGATCCCCTGCACTGACTGCTAATGTCCACAGAAAGTGAGCACAGAGTGGTGCACAATATCATTTTCTCTGCAGGGTCAATTCATGTCAAACTCAGTGCAAATCTCTTGGAAGAAAAGGCGAAGACTATGTACGTGTGCTGTGTAGGTGGGCCTCTGTTAGGATCATACAGGATGGTTTGCTTCTTAACACTATAAATGCCATCCCTGCTGCACATAAACTATAGATAATAGGACAAATTGCATGTGAAACCATGCGTATATGCCATAGATTGTTATTGTATTTGAAAGAGCTGTATAACCAGCACCAATGTGAGTAAAGTGTAATCTTACATTTTTCACGTTTTGCCTTCACAAGATGTTTACATGTTCTCCCTGTGTTGTCATTTGGTTCCACTTTCCTTCGTCCCTCTTCCCTCTGGGCACTGTTCAGATGTGTGGATGCATACCTCTGTGAGATGTGAGTAACATGTTTGATGATCAGGGGCTTTGTAGAATTTGGCAGTGCTTGTAGGTACATACATGAATGTGTCTTTATCATTCATGAAATAAATCGTATCTGAGCTTTATACTGTTCATTAAGAAATTAATTATAGATGAAGGTCGCAGGGCCCAGAGATTCTTTCTTAATGCTGCTTTGAAAGACACTGCATAAATTAAATTTTTTATTACTACAATTAAAAAACAATAAGTATAACTCTTAAAGAACACCTATGAATGCACACACATTGAGAAGCTCTGACACACACAGGCTGTTTTGAGGATTGAGCATGGATTTTCATCGGAGATTAGGAGTTTCTAACGGAACGTTTTAGATTAAAGCATCTGCACTGTCCTACTTTTCAGCTGGTTTCACTGGGAATGTAATAATAATATACATTTGAAAACAAGGCGTTCGTCACAGCTGTTCATTCAATTTTACACGTATTCATCCTCATGGTGAGGAAAGAGCTCAATCGATAGCAATGAAGCAGCTGGGGCTGACGTTCTGTCACAAACCCAGACAAGCAGTTTCATCATGAAAACACTACTGAATCATGCTTCTGCATACAGTAGCTCAGCCCCCTGTTACTCATGATGGAGCGCAGTTTTAGTTGCCCCGTGTTTTTGCCCTGCAGACCTTAAACGTGAGATCCTGATCCTGGAATGCTCTGGCTTTGCCCAGGTGTTGGCGGTCGGGAGTGCCGAGATAAGCAATGGCGGAGCCAGCAGGAGACGAGCCAGGCCTGGGGGCTCCACGCGGGTCCAGCCAGCCCCCCCACTGCCCCCCTGTGCCGGAGCCCCCAGGTGTCGTGATCCAGCTCACAGCAGCGTGCACGGAGGAGGAGTGGGGTGGCCAAGGGGACAGTGAGCTGATCTTCACCCTGGACCGAGATGAAGAGGGCCCAGCAGTGGCTTTCTCAAGGGACCTGACCCGCCCCGACGCGGGGCAGCCGGCAGAAGACTTCCTGGGCTCAGCAGCTTTCTCCGTGTCCTGTTCCCCATCCTCCCCCGGCTCCTGCGGCGAGTTCTCCATTTTGGCCCCCAGCTTCTTCTCCCAGCAGTCCTCCCCGAGGCCTTTCATGAGCCTGGTCAAGTCCCTGTCCACCGAGATCGAGCCCAAGGAGACCGCGTCCCTGAAGCCCCGGCCGCTGCTCAGCCTGGTCAAGTCCATCTCCACGGAGATCTCCCGCAGCGAGCCCGAGGTCACCCAGTCCAAGTCCGACTCCAGGCTCAACCTGCACCTCTGGCGCCAGCTCACCCAGCCCCGCGGGCGCAATGGCGACTCCAAAACCGCTCCACCCTCCCCCGGCAGCGCCTCGCCCTCCGAGGGCAAAGCGGCGTTCTTCAAGGTGCCCGAGGTGGAGGCCCGGCTGGAGGACACCAAGCGCAAGTTCTCGGAGGCCATCCAGGACCCCCTCAGCATGCTGAGCAAGATCATGGGGGACGAGAACTCCGGCAGCCCCAAGCAGAAATCGGGGCTCACCGATTCTCCGGGGTCCTCCGGAGGTGGCTGCTGGGGAGGTCAGGCGAACGGGGAGTGGGGGGTGGGCGGGGATGCGGGGACAGCCGGCAGGAACCCCCGGAAAGGAGAGTGCGACAGGCTGTGTGTCTGCAGCACCCCCGTGAGGAACCCCCAGAGGAGTCAGCAGAAGCTGTGCGCATCCCCCGAGCCGCAGTGCAAAGTGAGCAGCCAGGGCAGCAGGTACGAGATTTGTACCTTCAGAGACATCATGCAGGTGGTGGAGATCGAGCCCGCCGCTGGCACCCCTGGGACACTTGATGCAGAGCTGGCCCAGGGACTTCCTGGGGAGCAGGTCTCTCTGCAGCCCTGTCCGCCAGTTCCAGGCAAGTGTCTGTTCTCTGTGGCTGCGCTGGCCTACAGCTACTTCGTCCTGCCTCTGCCTCCTTACCTGTCCGGCCTGGCTCTGGGCCTGGCCTGCGGATTCATGCTGGGCTTGCTGCTCATCCTTCTCCTGGCGCCCAGGACACCCCTGCCATCCTCCAGGATCATTCCCCCGGCAGCCGACAGCCGGCCGTCTGCGAGCCTCGCCAGGGAGGGCAGTGACCCCGAGGTCATGAAGGTAAGCTGAGTGCCTGAAATTCAAAATTACATCATTGAAAATCATGGTGATACAGAGTGGAGAGCAAAATGTGATATGGGAAACTCAAGTGTGATAGGCAGTTCCTTCTGTGCAAGGCCTCCCATTAAAAACTACTCTTAAGCGACCCCACTGAAGACCTAAAACCAGACTTGCTCTGCAGATCTGACTGTGCTGTCAATTGTATTGTTAACCACAGCTATCAGGTGCCTCTCTGAGAGCTACAGTCTTAGCAGGGAAGGATTTCCTACTTGTGTGACTGCAGAGCTTGAGGCTCAAAGGGTACTGTAGCTTGTCTCTGTAATTAAATCCTTTTTTTCTCCATAACTGCCTGTATAACCCAGAAGCTTGCTGTGTGATGACTGCAATTAATGGCTTGTTTTTGGCTTCTTATTACAGACTAAAGCTTCTATTACTGTTCATCACTCTGCAAACAGTTCTCCTCCAGTGCCCCAGGTGTGGTATTAAACCAATCTGAGCAGAAGGCACCAGTGTTCATTTCCAGCCTCATCAGGAGCTTTTAATTGTAAAGAAGAGATACAGTTCAAATTAACTCTATGACATCAGGCTTACATTAAGAGCCTGTCAGCTGGCTGTCAGTCTTACCCTTAATTTAGAAACAGAGTTTAAATTCAGCACAGAGGTAACCATTAACATGTACGTTCATTTGTTCTTTAAAAAAATGTGTGGTTAGACATTTGCAGAGAAAAAACCTTAAAAGCTGTTCTCTGTCAGATTCCATTACACATATCATATCAGATTTCATTTTATATAATCACATTATGTCCCTATATCTATCTACAGACAGCACAAGCAGAACAAAAGTGATAATGTATCTACAGCATTCCACCACTGTCGCCGAAACACTGTAATATAGCTACGAGTCTGGAGGACTCATCTGAGCAGGAGGTCATTCAGTCTCACTGCAAAGAGGTTTTAGCAGATTTAAGACTCAGCCTTTAATGAGTGGTACAGTGCTGAGCTCTCCAACCCTGGTCTCAGAGAGCCATTAAAAACCAAATGATCATTTAAGATTTATGACAATTTATGATTAAGCAAATCATCTGTAAAATTGATTCAGTTCGAGATCAATTGGAACAACAACTTGAATATCATTCGGTCCTCCAAAGACCTGAGCTTGACTGGGCAGTGACTTCCAAACATTCCTTTAGAAGACAGCAGAATGGGGTCCCCAGGAGCAGGTTTTGATTTCTGCTAGTTTCTCAGGAGGAAGGGGGTTATGAAGGGCAAGAAAGAGCACCGCAGCTCCAGAGAGAGAGCGAACTGGTGGGACAAGACCTCTCCATTCTGATGTCCTGCTCTGTCGCCTGGTGCTTGCCTCGCTCCCCTGCCCCGAAACCACTGCTCTGCCCAGACCTCTCCCCGAGTCACACTGCCAGCCTGCCGCCCTCAGCAGCCGCCAGTTGGTTTTGACAACAGTCCACCAAACATTCAGAATGGCGCTGAATCCCTCCTGCGGGCATGCAGATGTTTACTTATGAGCTCAATTAGTCAATATGCTCAGTGATCCAGGACCGGGAGTCTGTCTGCATTGGGGAAACCGAGCTCCTCAAAGTGGGAGTGGGCAGAAACAGCTGTCTCTCTGACTTCAGAATAGGGAATATTCCCTTATTGTGGACTGCAGCAGCCTCATCAGTTTTAATGTGTCGTTTTTCCTTTTTTATAATGTAACAAGAAATCAGGTGCACATTTCCCCAATGAGAATGTGGTGTGTTATAGAGCTACAGAGCTAGTAACTGAAAAAGGAAAGAAAGACACTGGGAGTGTTCTGTGCCATTGCCAGGAATTGTAATTTGTCTATCATACAGAAATTTTATGAGCATGGGAGTTCATTTAATGATAAAGGAGTGGAGAGGGTATTTTCCAACTGCATAAATATTTTGTTTATAATGTTCTGAATGGAGATGTATTCATGTCAAGCATGCTCTGTCTTCTCTTTAAACTAACATCCGTTGGGGACGATTTTGTCAGATGCTGCACCATTAAACACAATAACTCCTAGCCTTCGTGTTGTTTGTAAATTCACCATATTAATAATTCACTGAAGCCAATTTTTCCTGCTCATCTTGGATCATTTTAATGACGTCTTAGAGAGGGTTATCTAACTCACACAAAATGGATTGTAAACAGCATGGTTGCTGTTTCATTGAGGCACTCTAGAGAGTAACGAGAATGCACTCACAACCCACACACATCCATGCTCTGGGAGACAAGTAGGATAACTCCTAGGGCAGTTCGCCTTTTCTGCAATTTGTAGGTGATGCAGAAATTTGTTTCCTGGATAGGACACAGGCCACAGGCTAGACCAAAACCTGTCTTCATAGAGTTTATCATAGAGTTTATTGAAGATTGTCTCTTATTGTACATAGTGTTATGCAATAAGCATTACTAACACTCATTTAACTTGGCTGAACAATGCTGTATTGTGGTCTTGTGTTTTCAAAGTGCATTCAGCTTTACTGTACTAGACAATGGCAGGTGTATGATTTTACTGCAGTAAATTATATTGTGGTCTTGAAGTGCCCAGATACATTAATAACATTTTTAATCTTAACTGAGAAGACTATGAGCTTACCTGATTCAGGTACTCAAAATCCTCAAAGGCACTGAACAAAATCAACCCAATGTATTATTTTATAGATTGTATATTATATAGATTATATTATATATTTATAATATCTTCTTAATGAAAAGTGAAACACAAAAAAGAGCTATAAATAAGAGCTATGGTGAAGTACACTTAAAGTGGAGGTCATGAGGTCAAGGGTGGTGGGGGAGTGGAACAAGCTGCACAATCATGTTGTTGAAGTCAATACTGTCACTTCTTTCAAGACACAGCTGTGTGAGATCCTCAGATCAATAGTTAATATGTATACTGTAAATCCACAAAATGACCTTCTCTCCTCTGTTACTTTCCTTGTCTTCCCCTGTTCTGTTATTCTTCTTTTCGGGATTAAAGCCAGTGTACTTGACTCTGTGATCTTACAAGGGTGAACTGGCTTGAGGCACTGACAACTGTGGCTGCTGTGTTGCAGGGCTGGATGAATGAAATGTACGTCTATGACCCAGAGACATACCACCCCTCACTGACCCACTCGGTGTTCGTCACACTGGAGGGGAGCACACTCCGACTGGCCTACCCCAGGAGCAACATCCCACGCCGCGCAACCTTTGATGAGCCCCCACACGACGTCATCTTTGTCAGCGCCCGCTGCTTTCGGCTGGCACACAGTCAGGTAAGCCTGGCGCGCGACACACCTGCGCTCATGGCCAGAGAGTGAAGGCGCTGGCCAAGGGGAACGGAAAGAGCCGAGCGGGGGACAGGGGTTTTCTTCAGGTGTATAAATGAGGAGCTTGTGACGGAGAAACTAGCAAGATATCTAGCCTGGGATATTATCTTGAAAATATAAGAAGTCATCGCAGGCCCTAGCGATTTCCTGTAATTTAGGAAAGTAGATCGCCGGTTCTCAAGGGATGCAGAAAAGTACAGTTTATAGACATCGTTAATGAAACAGCTGCTTTTGACCTTGAAAAGATTAAAGATTTCCTTCAGTTAGGAAACTAGTTCAATTAATTATTTTGGAGAAATTAAAACTGAAGGCTTAATGGCTCTTAAGGACAGGACACTGATTCCACCTTTAAATACGTGGCAGTTTTGCCAGTCACGCTGTGAAAGAATGCACATGCACAGCACACTGACTAGATTCTCCTTGGGACAACACAGCCCATTTGATGTAAGACAGCCTGGGTCTGGACTGGCGGAATGCAGAATGGTTTTCAGGTTTTTGCTGTGCTCTAACAACAGGTGTTCCTTGTGCCAACGGCTCTGGCCCGCAAGAGAATGTGGAACAAAAAGTATCCCATCTGCATTGTGCTGGGACGGGCAGAAGAGGGCACTGAAGACAGCCAGCCTGAGGGGCTGTCCGAAGAGCAGAGGGTGGACACGCTGACCGCCGGTGTCAGGAGAGGCGAGGGGGCCACCAGCACCCTGGAGCACCCTGCTGCACCGCCCGGCCCCACCACCACACTCTACCTCTTTGGCAGGACGGGGCGAGAGAAGGAGGTGTGGTTCCAGAACTTCCTGTCTGCTTCCAAGAGGTTCACCGAAGACCAGGACACTCCTACCAAGTGTGGTTCCAAGTTTGGTGAGAGGAGCTCTTCAGTGTTCCGCCTTGTCTCCAGACTTTCTATCAGAATATCTGATAAATGTCAGAAAAAGGACGAGTAAAGTTTAAAGGGGAACTGGAGCCCCAAATTCTCAGACTGGTTATTACAATTTAGTGACAGACTCATTGACAGCATAGAAAAATGTTCCAAAAACCTAAAATTGTGAACTTTGTGAGAGTACTGTGTAGTTCCTATGTTGTCACACACTGCTGGTCTCGCCACAGGGGATAGCGAGAGTTTGCGAGAGTTGTGTTGTAAATTTGTCCCTTCCTGCTCACTAGTCACTGTAATGACTAATGTAATGCAATGTATGAGCGAGGAGAGTAGTAGAGTAGTAGAGGAGTTTATTGCCATATGTACACTTAAAGTGGAATTCATTGGAATTCTTAATCGTGCTGATCTCCCGGGACTCGCACAGTACAGAAGACGACACCAGACAATGTAGACAGTACATTACAAATGGTACATCATAAAAAGTAACAAGAGAACAATAAATACAATGTAGAAAACAATAAATATGTGGTAGTGAAAAAAAAACATGATGGTCTGCGCAAAAAGTCCCTAATGCAGAGTTGCATTGAGTTCTGAGGCACCGCAGTTAGTTGTTAAGGATGTGCATCTGCAGGCTGAGTTCAGTCAGTAGTATTTGTTGGAGAAACTGCCACGAGGTTGGGAGCAAAATTTCTATTGGATTAAAAGTGAGGTATTCACAAGCCTGCTTGTTTACAAAGTCATCAGGCTGCGTCACCTCACCGGAGGTTTTGTTGCCTCACTCTGAATCTCAGAATATGGGACTGCGCATACCTGGAAATATTGTGATGTAATTGTGGAGGTTTTACAAGTTACATTTTACTTTTATTGTGGCTTGAATTGTACTCATCAATGCTGATTCTTTCTAACCCCAAAATATAAAAATAGTGTTGCAGTTCCCCTTTAACCCCATCCGTGAAAAGTAGAAAGAAGAAACACAATGTTTCTGCTCTTGAGTCTTCTCTGCTGAGGTAGCTTGAACCTGTGTAAAACAGGAGGGTTGTGTCATCAGCTGCGTCTCTTCTCTGAGAACTGTTTTAGTTGTAATTATTACTTTTTTTCATTTGCTTTGCAATTTAAGACAAATCCTGAACAGAGTTTAAAACTAAATGTATTTTCTGTGTGGTGTGTTGACTAATGTGCAACCATACCAGTAGCTACCAGTAGTCACAGAAGGCCATGCTGTTGTCCTAAGGGCTGAGAGTTCTCTCTCTCTCCTTCTTGTCCCTGGTCTGTCAGCCATGCGAGCCTCCAGCCCCTCTAGCCGGGTGCTGTGCAGTGGAGGCTCCAGCAGGGGGAGCACTGAAGACATCTCTTCTCTGTTCCGGCTGAGGGACCTGGCAGGCAGCGTGCGTGAGAAGATCCTGCTGGACTACAGCACCTACATGGCGCGCTTCATCATGCCAGAGAGCACCAGCGCCCTGCCCAGCCCCTGCAACAGTGCTGCCAGCAGCCCCACTGCCAGGAGGAAGGTGAGTGTGGGGGCCTTCAGCAGCAGAACCGGCACCCTAGACCTGCAAGCTAACTCACCCCAAGCCAGATCATGGAGGTGTGAGACTGCATAAGAGAAGGTACCTAGCAGGTTGGCATGATGACATTTCACAATGGAGAGCAAGGTGTTAGAGCCTCAGTGCTTCATTGGGAAAACAATACAGTAATACTCATATAGGTTCTTTTCCGTTTGCATCTACTGTCTGTATTTACAAAGTTATTACAAAATGTTATAGGATGGCCAGTGTCCAGGTGGACACCTCCTATGGAGGCCTATGACAGAACTGGAGTACAAAACGGCTGCAGTAAATTAGTCCACAAGCATGTTAATCAAATCGTCATACAGGAGACTAGTGGTTGATCAATCCAGAACTAGCCCTGCAAGCCCTCACTAGGCGGTAGGCCGTTCTGCATTGAGAAGTAACTAAGAATGATTAGCTCGTAAATCTCAACAGCTTCCCATACTGCCTTTGATCATCTAGAGAGTAAACAGCCCCATTCACTCTGCAATGGATATCCTTCATCTGCTGCTGAATTAATCATCTTAACACAGTCACAGGAATGTTGACATTTTTCGTGCTTTAATACTGCACTTTAATTTACTGGCTAGGCATTAACCCAGCACTCCACACGAACAGGCTAACAGTTGGAGAACAAGCACACACAGGACAGACCCTCCTAAACACACCCAGAAAGCATCATCTCTGGCTGTGTCTCTGTAATCCTGAATATCCTGGTGCTGTAACTAATGCATGTGCTCATGATTGTTGTCTTGCTGTTCCATGATGTTGCAGCTCTGGATGTGTGCCATTGAAATAAAATTTCATAAGCTCTCAGACACAAAATGTGTGCATAGCACTCAGATTGGTCACATATTACAGAGCATTTCCCACAACAAAACCCCAGGGGTGGTAGAGGTGGAAAACTAATTGTCATTTCAGTGCATTTGCTTGCTGTTTCAGTGAAATAGCTACACAGCTGCTGCAAAATGTCGAAGTCTGTTTTATTACTCTTCTGCAACAGTCTGAAATTTAACAGGAAAGGTGGAAAGAAGTGTTCTGCACCAGCTGAGCAGAAAATGAGAAGTGTTGACACTGGCCAACCTCCAGTAAAGTGTGTGGCGACCCTGCCAGCGTGCGGAAGTGTGAATGAGATGGGCAGCTGGCTTTCTGTGATGAGGCATTAAATTAAAGCGTTTGGTAATCACTCTAAGAAGAGACACGCTGTTCTCTTTGCTTGTAAAATTCTACCATTGCCAGTATGATCAGCAGCAGTATGAACTAATGCCAGCTCTGAACGGCTATGTGATGAATTGTGGTATTCCTCTTCCGGCTGTTTGATCCAGGTGCATAAACGCGCGAGAAAAAAATCCATCTTATTTTACACTTTCAGTGACCATCGTTACATTCTAAAGCACAAAGGCTAGCTGTAGTCTGATGGGATCGTTCCCACCTGCTCTCGCCATCTCTCGTCTCACAGCTCCTCTGTGAACCACATGGGGGCAGCACAGAGGGTCAGTCAGCTTGGATCAATGCCCTGATTGGTCGCATCTTTTGGGACTTCCTGCGAGAGAAATACTGGGCAGACCAAGTGGCGTACAGGATCCAGAAGAAGTTGAGTAAGATCCGGGTAAGCTGACTTGGTACTCTGAACAGGTAGTCAGTAGGCTTCAGCAGGGTTTCAGCTGAAGAGCTCTGCATAAATAGGAAGCTACAGCCAGTATGTTCTGCACCATTGGCTAAATGAAAGAGGATGTCTAACATGTAAAACAGGTATAAGGTAGATAGATTCAATGCATTTCATTCAATGTCTTTGGTACACCCAGCTCTTTAATAGCATAATTATATAAGTTAAGAATTGAAATTACAATTAATAAACCATCTATGACAAAATCCAGCAAAGGATTGGGTTAAGATTAGCAGTCGGATACTGGCTTCAGATTATCAGCAGTCTCTGAGCTGGGGAAGCCTGTTGCATGTGAAGACAGGAAATGGGACGTCTGTAAATTGCAGGACGTCTCTTCACACTGTGCAGGCTGTTGCTGTTCCGAGTGAGTAAAGTTAGTGCAGATACACTTCTGCGCAAGGTCACAAGCAGAAATGTATAGTGTGGTTCTACAAACCCTGTCAGTTTTATAGTAATCTGACAGTCTGTTTAACAAGGTGCCTTGGTTGTCTCTGTGCAACAATGCTTCCTGACAGCTGGCATGGCAGGATCATATCTGGAGTTCCCTTTGGGATCACTGGCTGGGGCCACTGTCCTAACCAAACTGTCATGCTGCCTCAGTCCTCTCTGAGACATTAATCTAAATTCTTGGGAGGGGTTTCCCCTTAACGAAAAACCAGATGTCATTCTGAGGCATTTCATTCAACAATGGCATTTCAGAGCTGTTTAGGAATCATTTCTGGTTCTTCTAGTGGTAGATTTTCTCTTCTGTTTACCCATTAATTAAATGCTCTATAAAGCCAATTAATTAATAAACTGGTTAATTGGCTAAAGCAATGTACAATTTTGTAATGAAGATTGCAAAAAGATACATTTGATTTTGTGATGTTCATTGCTTAACCTTCACATGGACAGCTGCCAGATAAGCCCCAACAGAAAACGTTGATGAATTTCCATTGCCAGGAATGACCCTGATCCGACAGACTGAAACTCATACCTAAGAAGGGGATCTTCACTGTCTGATCTCTGCTTGTGTCTGCTTGCAGTTGCCTTACTTCATGAACGAGCTGACTCTCACAGAGCTGGACATGGGGAGCTCTATGCCTCAGGTGATCAGCACTTCCAAGCCCTCGGTCAACTACAGAGGTGAGACAGGGAACTGCACTGCAGGGGAGAAGATGGGAAAAAAGAATAAAATGAAATTTAAAAAATCATAGCTTCAAGGCAACAGCATGGCGACATAGTGATTCTGCTCACTTCAGATGAGACCTTTTTATCCTTTTGTAATCCTCTGTCAGGGGCATTTTATGAAGCATCTCTCTTCAATTCCTCTTTCTGCTATGTGTATGTGCTCTGCTGAGACTTGTTGAGGATTACGCAGCAGCAGTGATAATGTGGCTGCCTATGGCATTGCTACCGTGTGCGCCCCCTACTGGCAACCTGTTGAAGCGGTGGAACTGCACACCCCAGCAAGACCATTTTAGAAACTGCATTATTTCTTATTTGTTGGTGAAATTGATATGCAGAAGCTGTTATAGAATCAGTTCTCTTTCTCCATTAAGAAATGGTTAAAGTGTGCTGAAGTGTACATGGATCTCTGAGTTCATTTCATCAAGCTGTAATAATTAACAGATGTACTACAGATCATACCAAACATAAAAGCCAAATTTCATATTTGTATGAAACCTACTCAATGTTGTTAAAAAAAATAGCTAATCGTGCTTCTTAATTGAATACAGTCTCGAAGATGACTTTATTAAAGCTATTTCAATTATTGAGTGGTCAGGAAAGGTTATTGCACCCTGTCATTCCATTCTTTAAAGCTTTGTGAGTTCAGCAGTGTTCCAGTCTCTGTGCGGGAATCTGTACACTGTAACAGTCTCTGTGTGTGAATCTGTACATTGTACCAGTTTCTGTGTGTGAATCTGTACACTGTAGCAGTCTCTGTGCATGAATCTGTATGCTGTGGTCTTGCTGATCCTGGCGCAGGGCTGTGGCTGGAGCTGGAAATCATGTACACAGGCTGTCTACAGATGACCCTGGAGACCAAGATGAACCTGTGCAAACTGGGCAAGGAGATAGGGGGCGAGCTGGACAGTGTTCTGGAGCCCAGCAGAGAGGGGTAGGTCACAATGCAACTTCTGTTCTTTGTTGCTATCCCTGTATCCCCAGGGCTTACTTGTTGAGGACACAATATACATCCAGACCCTGGTAAAAACCCCTCTCCTTGGGGATTCTAATGATTAAACACCAGAGATTCAGAACTGGTTTACTGTGAAATCGGACTAGTTTATTTGCATTTTTTATCTTTTGTGAGAAGGCTTTTTTCTTTCTAGGCAAAACATTTTCTTCCTGTTCTGAGGCCTTGGACTGACAGGACCAGCAGTTTCACTAATCTGCTACAGACGTCTACTTAACCTTACTCCAAAAACTGCTAATGCCCTCCTGTAATGATTTACTGATGGAGCTACTGGCCTTGTTTAAGCCCGACCTGACCTCCGTGTAACCTGAGCCATGGGTGCAAAAAAGAGCTCTTTAATTTAATTAAGGGCATTAGATGGGCTGGTATCTGAGTGTGTGTTTTGTCACTCAATGTTAAGCTCTGTAATTATGCACTCCCAGAGTGAATTTTATAGCACGGGGTGTGTCCCCCCATCACATTGAATAGAAATGCTAAGTGCATGCACACCTGTTGCTGGGCAGGACCTTAGGGGTATTTATGTTTGATATTTGCTCTGTCTTTGACAATCAGTGTGCGTACTTGTGCAGGAGTTGACAGTCAGCATGTGTGTTACTGTCTGCAGGTCCAGACCCAGGTTGTGTGTTTTAGCTGACAGTGATGAGGAGTCTTCCAGCGCAGGCTCATCTGATGAAGAGGAAGTCCTGCCTTCTGAACCACAGGGCATTCTGGGAGAGAGGGCCACTCCCCCTGGTGCTGAGGGGTAAAAGGCACCTCTCACTCTCTGCCTTGCTCACTACCGCCACTCTCCCTGTTCCTCCATTACCTGCTCTGAATCCAGATACAACTGAATCCTGCTTTTATGTTCGCTGTAGCTCAGACAATTCTTATTCCCTCTACTCTCTCATTCTGTAGTGCTTTCCCTCTATCTTAGTCTCCCTTTTCTCTCTCAGCATATTGTTTTTCTAGTCAACGAACATATTTAACAAAATATTATTGTACATAATAATTCAAACTATTGGATTGAATCTGACCATTGTTAACAGCACCTTTCTTTACAGTCTTTTAGTGCTATCAGGCTGCTACAACATATACTTTAATTACCTGACAAACTCAGCCTGCTAAATGCTTAGATGACTGTGTGCCAGAAAGTGCATGAATCTGCTTTTTCTTAACATGCTGACTGAGTGCAACAGCTTCTCTCCTGGCCTGGTTCTTTTTGTCCTTCAGCCACGTTGCCGGCGGTAGCACCAGCAGGAAAATCCTGCGTTTTGTGGATAAAATTGCCAAGTCGAAATACTTCCAGAAGGCCACAGAGAATGAGTACATCAAGAAGAAGATCGAGGAGGTGTCCAACACGCCCCTGCTGCTCACTGTGGAGGTCCAGGAGCTCTCTGGGCTCCTCGCTGTCAATATACCTCCGCCTCCTACTGACCGAATATGGTATGACCAGAGCCATGCTCCTCCCACCTGACCAGAGCCATGCCTCTCCCACCTGACATATCTCCCCCATATCCCAGGCAGAGCCTGTTGCTTCTTTCTCCTGATTGTCTTTAACTGCTGTCATTCATCTATTACTCCTTTTATGTCTTCACACACATAAAGAGAAAAAAAATATTTTTCTTTTTCTGATTCACAAGTGCTTTGAATTTTCTCTATTGTGATGTTCCAATATTTGTTATATTGTTATTGATAAGGCTTTACAGCTGGGGTCCCTGATCTTTGGGCCTCCACAGTTTTCTATGTCTCTTAAGCAGCAGCACCTGAAGAGCTGGGAGAAGCTGATAAACTGGTCCAGTCTAACCAGTAATGAGCTGACTGAGGTTATTAAGAACCTGTAGACACTCACCCAGGCCCTCCAGGACCAGGATCACAGTCCCTTCTTTGCTTCCATTGATTATTGTCATCAGGGTAAGGGATAGAGCTGAGGGACAGAAGCTTGCTTTAGAAGATGCTCCAATGCAAATTAACTCTGCTCTGTCTGCTCTGAAGGAAAGATTGCTGTTTTGGAATTGACCTAAGGGAAAGGCAAGTTGACTTTGGTGAACCATCACATCAGAGAATCACAGATATTTCCTTCAGAAGTGTTTCAGCTCTGACTGGGATGTGTCTCACTGTTTGTGCTTTTACCCTCAGGTACAGTTTTTGTGTTCCCCCACGACTGGACCTAAGGGTGAGGCCCAAGCTGGGCGAGAGGGAGGTGACCTTCACTCACGTCACCGAGTGGATCGAGAGGAAACTGCAGCACGAGTTCCAGGTCCGCTCACCTTCTGGCAAACTGTGGTTTTGTTTCACCCCTTCACCTCATGCTGAGCTGTGCGCATAGTTCAAATGCATTTTGCCTGTTCCAATAAAATTAAGCTTCAGTTTATGGACCTAAAATTAATTTTCATTGGAAACTTATTAAAAAAAGTACAAATATAATCTTAGGCAGCACCCCCCTAAAATGTTTTGTCCTTAAATTGGTAACTAGAATGTCTTAAATTACAGTGAAGGCTGAATGTCACCACCTGGAGTTTAGGTATGAATTCACTTATCTTTCACTGATGTACATCTGGAACTGTTTGAAAAACTTCTAGACTATCAGACAATCTCCTGTTCCTTGCAAGTTTGAAAGGCAGGCTGCATTTTTCTTGCTTTATTAAATATTCCTTTGTGCAAGGGTTGTGGTCTGTCAGATTTTAGACGTTGAAGTTGGGTTTACAATGATTGCATCATTTCCTCCTTTGGACTCAGGACAAGAGTTCATCTGGCTCAATTAAGAGCAAGTAGTTAGTTCAGTTAGGCAATGAAGAGCTTGACTGGAGAATCAGCTCCCTGTGGAGGAGTAGGGGTTGAGGAAGGTTGCTGTTGTCTGCTGCTTCATTCTTCTCCTGACTGAAAGAGAGATGTTTCTCCTTCCAGAAAGTTCTCGTGATGCCAAACATGGACGACCTCTACCTTCCCCTTATGCACTCTGGCCTTGCCTACCCTCCTGGTTCTCAGCCAGCCCAGCCAGAGGAGATGACAAGAGCAGAAATTGCCAACGCTGAAGAATAGTGCCCCCTTCTGGAGCATTGCACACACACCAGGATCCGCAGAGGCCAGTTTAGGGAAAGGAGGTCTAAGTTCCCAAATGAAAGTGTTCCTGATGTGAACTAGGAGCCCCTTTCCCTCTAACCTCTAACAGCCCTGATATGGTGTCTGAGTGTGTGTGAGAAATTTGGTTTGCAGGTGAAACATAATACCATTGTATATGGAATCTGCTGCTTAGACATCTTGTAGGGAACATGGGTAAGCACATGGATATGCCTCTCTTGTGGAGAATAAGCCGGATGAGTTTCCAGGATCAAGAATTTACCTGAACCAATTTTTTAAAAATGGGCCCTCATTTCTTCCTGCAACCTTTACACTCTCTTGTTTGTCAGCTGCTCAACAAGGTCAACAGTGATGAGACAGTTACTCTGGCCCAGGTAACAGATGATGTACATGCACTTTTCCCTTTAGTGAAATACACAGACCTGCGCAGCTACTGAAACCTAGAGAGCACTGCTGTAAGGGCAGAGGGCTCAACGTCCTGGAAATAGCTTCGACAAGCTCTCCTCCAAAATCGGCAAAAGATCACCTTCACAGGTGACACAGTCCTGTATGAGTGCAATAAGGATATTGGGCTGCATGGTTATTTTTGCATCTACTGTATGATACTCATGCATTTTAACAGAAAAGTGTGAAATGTTCCCCTTATCAAGAGCATGGAAAGCAAGTGACAACTGGAGATGGAGATGGATTGTAGAGATGGATCTGTTGCACTAAAACTGTCCAGGGAAAATCTTGTAAGTATCAATAGACTCCTTTTATGTCTTGGTAACTTCAAAGGCTTTAATTTCTCTTACTTTCTCCTGCATTGAACCAATACTACAGGAACTGAAAATCACAGGCAAAGCATTGCATCTTGGGATGCCAGGCAATGTATTTTTGTTCACTGGTTATGTTGTAAAGTTCTTGCTTTGCATTTACAGCATCTTTTCAATGAATTTGCCAGATATAAAGGAGGAGCACATTGAACTTCTGTACTGGCAGTTGTGCTCATCTGCTGTGGGAGAGAGGGTGTTTCTTTCATCCCTGCTCTTTTGTAATCTCTCATGCTCCTGGAACAGCCAGCTCAGTCATAGCTCAAGGCCAACCACATTTGTTTTTTTAGGTACCTGAACAATCATGACTCTGATTGTATTTTGTGTTTTACTATTAAAGAATAAAGGAGACACTGATTGCATTACTGTTTTGCTTAAGATATTTGTGTTGTATTACAGTTCTCAAAAGCATAAAGGCTCAGGAGGAATACTTTATACACATTCTGGGATGGGAGTCTTGATTTCAAGTTCGCCTGAGATTAGTCGCTCCTAGCTCCTCCCTGATCCTCTACATCCCCTCCTCCTCCTCTTGTGGCACGGGAAGTTTCTTCAGCAGATCTTTCTTCAGGGGTCCCTTTAGCAGAAGAGAGAGAGACAAACATACAGAGGTATGTCAAACCATTCCTGGTTCACACATTTATAGACTGTTTTCTATTTGTTTCCTCTGGTTTGTGTTTCACTATAGATATAGATATAGATAGTTTCACTATAGATGTCCACTAGATTGACTTTCTCAATATCTTTGAGGATTGTGAGTGGTTGTATCAGGTTTCCCTGTTCAAGACTAAACAGGTTCAGTTCCTTCAGCTTGTCAGTGTATGACATGCCTTTAATCTCCAATTATGCACAATATTCTAAATTATGATTAATATAGTTACCATGACGTTTATACGTAATGCATGAATTATACAATATTCTGCAATTTTAACATAACATCACTGGATTAAAATACAATGCTTCCATTGACATATTCTACCATTTTTGTACCTTTTTAACTGCTTTTCCATGTTGGCTAGTAGATATAAGTGATGTCTAATCAATGATATGTCAAAATAAATATCAGTTATTTCAGCTGTGTACGTTTTCAAGTGTAAAGAGAGCAGCACTGCTCGCTCTCTGTATTTGGAAGGAGGCACCCCAGCTTCGCGCTCTCCCCTCACATACCATGAAGGCTCTCTTCTCCTGCGCTGTCTGGAAGTGCCCGTAGCCGAATTTGGACGTGGTGTCGATGAACTTGAGCTCGATGGGCTCCAAGGCCTTGCGGCTGGTGTGCACCAACAGGGACTGCAACCACAGACACACTGGTGACTGGTCACTGTCACTGCCTTATGGACATTGTGATAGGGTGGTCACTGGTTACTGTCACTGCTTTATGGACATTGTGATAGGGTGGTCACTGGTTACTATGCTTCCTCACATCAGCAGTACTATGGACCTTGACTTGTTGAGATTACTGCCTACACAGGCCATAGTCCAGAGGCTGGCCAGTGACACTTTGATCACGTCTTTGTCCTCAAGAGGGACATTCAATTACTGCATGAAAAGGTAAACCCCAACAAAGAAGCTCAACTGAAACAAAAAAAGTTGGAACAAAAAGTAGAAGAAAAAAAATGAGAGGTAATAATGAAGGTGACTCTCACCTGCTGGAGGGATGGGGGAAGGGGTTACCTTACCTTCCTGAGGGTGAGGACGCGCTTCCTGGTGCCCACCACACAGCCCTTCAGCATGATGAAGTCACTGTTCACCTCGCCATAATGGGGAAACCCCCCCTGGGGCACAGGAGACGAGAGTTAGCACAGCCGGAGAGGAGAGCCAGGCGAGCAGACAGCAGACCCGGGACAGGCCAGCCAGTGGCGTCAGGAAGGGTACAGTACCATAGGCGTGATGCTCTTCTCAGTGGTGTCGTAGCTGGTGGAGGCGTTGCTCCTGATCGCTTTGCCGTCCTTGATGTGAGCTCCCTGCCCGATGCGGTAGATCTGCATTGGGAATAAAACACAACAGAACAGCTGCTGCACTCTCGTTCATCTCTTGTCCCCCAGAACCTGATCTCTTCCTCTGGCACCTTCATCTGCTGGTTCTCAGATGGTGTTTTATCAGATTGAGCTTATGAATCACTCCCCTTACAAAAGAAAATCTAAAGCTGGTAAAATAAACTCCTCCACTAGAGTTTTATTTGATCATTCCAACTGTGTTATTACTACAGCTCACTTTGCACAAGAAGATGCCAGGGTTATCAGATTCTGGATCACGGCTTGAGGTAATCTATACATCCATCTGTTTTCTAGCCTCTTCTTCCCATTCAGGGATGCTGCAGAGCCACAGCCTTTCCCAAAGAGCAGCTAGAGAAATGCAGGGCACACTTACAGACACAAACACACACAGTCACAGCAAGGCCAGTCTTGCCAGAAACCAATTAACCTGCCAGTAAGTCTTTTCTGGACTGTGGGAGGAAACCAGAGCACCTGGAGCAAACCCACTTAGCTTAGCAGCTCAACCCAAATCTCACTATACTTAATACTTATTTAAAATCCTCAAACACATCTATTTCTCAGGAGAAATTTGAGTGTCATTATTTCCATTGAACTGCACAACACAGCTCCATGAGGATTGAGTGTTATCTTTGACCAGTCAATCCTGCTTTCCTTCAGCAGACTGTAATAAACTTTCATTAAATTGTGTTTCTGTATAAAGAAGGGAAAGCACTGAGTGTAAGAAGTAGAACAGTGTCTGATGTCTTAGACATTGCAGTATTTACACCAGACAGTTGTGCTGGAGGCTTATTGCTGCTCTCTGGGGATGGTCTAAACACAGTGTCTCTCCCCAGCCATCTCAGCTCCTCACACCTTCTTGTTGATCTCAGTGTGGTGGTGGTAGCCCTTCTGCCCGGCACGGGCAATGGAGTACGCCACGCGGGCAGGGTGCCAGGCTCCAATACACGCGACCTTCCGCAGACCCTTGTGCGTCTTCCTGGGCAGCTTCTTGGTGTGCCAGCGGCTCGTCACCCCTACCAAAGAGCAAAGAGGGCAGGGCATGGGATCACAGCTCAGGATCCCAAAACAGAACGGAGAGAAGATCAGGAACAAGCAAAGGGGGCTCGTGAGTGGCTCAACAGGGGAAGGTGCTCAACTGAATGCAGAGTGCGTTCTACAATTGCAGGTTTGAGCCCGGGTCATGTCACAAGCTGACAGTGACTGGGATTACCAAAAGGGTACTGCATAACTGGCTGAGCCCCGCCTCGTGTCTCAGCGACACAGCGACCCCCTCAGCTTCCTGGAAGCTTGCAGGCTTGCGGTGCTGTCAGGGAGGGACACACCTCTCCTCCAATCAGAGCTAATCCCCCTGCAGGGGGCGGAGCTGCTTGTGATGTGTGAGAAGGTGTGTGGCTTGAAGGTGGGCATTTCAAAAGAGTCAGCCCACACATCAACTGGGAGTCAGCTCTCCCAGTTGGAACAGTAGAAACAAATGTTCTAAATTGCATGTGAAGTAATGAAAATAACTGGCAATTTGCAATTAAAAAAGACATGTAAGGAAACTTTCCGTTAATGCATGTAAATGTGTTTTGAAAAAGGACAGAGAACAGTGTATGAAGTCAGATTCAGGGCTGGAGGCCCTGGGCAGCCCTCTCACGTATTTCTCGCCCACGACAGGAAAGCAGCGCAGATCTCTCCCTGGCCGGTATGAGACCAGTGCCCTAGGCTGTGCTGAGACCTTTAAAACCGTGGCCCTTGGTGACTCCGATGACGTCAATCATCTCGTTCTGCGTGAAGACGGCGGAGACGGGGACGGTCTTCTCCAGGCGCTCGCGGGCCCAGTCCACCTTCTCCAACACCGAACCCCCATTCAGCTGCACCTCCATCACATGGGCCTTCTTCTGGGCCAGAGGCAGGAGGCGCATCTGCACACATGAGCACACACACACGTCAACACACATTAACTCACACAGACACACACATCACCTCACACACGTCAACACACATTAACTCACACAAACACACACATTACCTCACACACACACATCAACACACATCAGCACACACACACGTCAACACACACACATGTCAACACACATTAACTCAGACAGACACACACACCAACTCACAGACACACATCAACACATACAGTATCAACACACACAGACACACACACATCAACATACACATAAACTCACACACATCGACACACACACACACCAGCAGCCCGGTGCTCCTCTCCCTGCACACAGAACCAAGCTGAATCAGCAATACTGCCTGTCTTACTCACACCTGAAGAAGGCTCCACGGCCGAAACAATGTGTTTTCTTTCTTCTCTTTTCAGCAGGGAATAAACCTATCACTTGTTCACTTCATATTCTAAGTGTATTACCTTTTCCATGTTTGTTAAAGGGACACAGTGGCACAGCTGTTTCCTGTTATTTGTATAATTCTGAAGGCCAAAAAATATGTTGAATTTTAAAACACACCACTACTTAGTTTCAAAAACACTGTCTCTATCAGTTCCTCTTTTTCTGTACAAGCCCAGGAGTTCCCAAGATCATCCATTCCATGTTATCCATGTTAACAAACACAGCCATGGCAGATTAACCTCAGAAATGACTAGAGAACTGACCCAGGTCTGGAATTGTGATCCTTGTTTCCTTCCTTTGTCCTTAATCTTTTTAACTTGTCAATTCCTTTTCAGTAAGAAAGCCACTTATGCCTAGTATACCAAAAGCATGAGGCGGGCTACACCTAGGGCACCCACACAACCCTAAAACCACAGATAACAGGGGTGAAAACACCAAAGACACCTGGACATCATGTCTTTGAATCCCAGAGGAAACCGATGCATCAGAGAAACAGTAAATGGACCTGGGGAGAACATGCAAGCTCCACACCCAAGCACCCCTGTCAGAGATCAAACCCAGGCCTCAAGATCTGTGAGGCAACAGGACTAATTGCCAGGCCACCTAACTTACTTATTCTTTTGCTTTTACTTTACTTATTTATTCTTTAAAATAAAGTGGCATTTGCAATGCAACAACAAGCAGAAAAAGACACCATTACAACAAATCTAGGGAGATAATAAATGAATAACAGATATAATCAGAATAGCATTATAAATCACATCTTGAAGGTGAAACAGATACACTCTTATATAGTATTCTGTTTCAGTTTTGCTTCTTCTGGCTTATTACATCTGAACCAAAAAAAATTCTGCATTATGTGCTTCAGTGGTGCTTTTATGACTCACACTAAAATCAACATTTGCTCAGGGCTACGATTAAGCACCCTTTGTAATTATCTTACATGTTTGTATTATTTTGAAAATTCCAGCACATAAACAGTGTTAATTAGTAGTCCACTGCTTCTCCCAAGCCAGCAGCTTGACACCAGAAAGATTTTATTTTAATGTAGTGTGCAGAGGACTTTTATTAAGCTGTAAATGCTCCCCAGGCTGATTTCTGAATGAATTTTGGCTCAGATGGCAGCACATAAATTGATGGGGATTATTTTTAAACTGCTATTTTAAACTGCATACCCATGGTCAGGATAGAGCTCGCTGCCATTAGCACTGCAGCAGCTTTCATTATAAGATGGAAGGGTTCTAATTCATCTGCAACAAACCTATCAAACAATAGGTCACATCCATAAAAAACAGTTCCTGTGAACATTCAAAATAACACTCTTGAAGTATTTATTCACGTCAGATCAACGAATCGTGGATTTATGGCCACTTATCTATAACAATGATTTAAAAAAAACTTCCAATATGCAATCACTTCTGAAACGTCACTGGAAGAAATGAAAATGGGGTTTTGGTCAGGACTGCAGACACTGCTGTGGCTGCTACCTGCTCATTGCAGAGGGGTTCTGGGAAGTCATAGCTCTACCTGAGTGTGCACGATGACCCGAATCACTTTGCAGAATTTCTTCATGGCGTCAAAATCCTTCTCCAGCTGCTTCTTGCCAGCCTCATCCTGCCACTTCTTGGAAAACTTGCTGAAGGCCTTCTTTTTACTCTTGTACCTGGAAGACATCTTGGGTTTAGAAAGAAAAGATCATCAAGATAATTTTAAATCTTATGAAACTGCAGCCTTTTTCTTATTTAATATAAACTCAGTATTGACACTTGTTTTTTGATTTTATGGACACCCGATTGCGAGTCACCAGTTGTGCCTCGATGTCTTGACTCATCGCGTCACACCTCATAAGGGACTGTGATCCCCTGTACCTGCTCTGGGAGAGGATGTGGACAAGTTCTGTTGACCCGCCCACCCATCGAACCAATCACCATCTGACACATCATGATGTACAGGAAGTTCAGTGGACAGCCCTGGCTGATGTCACTGCAATCCTGCAGGGTCCTGGTGAATTCCAGGGGTCGCTGCTGAGCCCCCACCTGACTAATCCCAACACCATCCCAGCTGGCACTGTGCCAATCATGTGCCACCATTTGATTTGAGTTCTGGTCACAGTCTGCTGCTGAGCTGACCCAAGTTTGAACTGAATGTTATTTTAGAAGGGTAGCAATGTACAATTAAAACTGATAAAGATGCGGTACAAAGCTCAGTTTCTCCTCCATACCAATTCCCCACCCCCCATTTCCCAAAAACAAATTCCTTCCAGTTTCCTCACCTACCAGTTCCTGTAGAACCGGCGTTTGCATTCGTCACTGAGGTGCTCTGCAAAAACCGTCTTGAAACAGCGCAGCCCGCGTGGCGTCTCAATGTATCCCACAATCCCCACCACCACCACAGGGGGCGTCTCGATGATGGTCACCGCTTCCACCTCCTCCCTCTTGGACACCTCTGGGGAGAGCAAGACCTGATCAGGGCTTTTCGCTCACTCCTGCTCCTCGTTCATCCACTCCTGACTGCATCACTGAAGGATTAATCCTCTAGGAACCAGGTGGAAACTCTGAGCCGGGCCTCCTCCATTCTTGACACCTTACTCCTGTTGTTTTCAAAATTACTTAAGAAGAGTGGCACTGTTAGCGTTGATTCCTGACTAAATATATGTTTTCTTTATATCTGCACTCATGTAGCTGACCAGGAGACCGATTGACCCATATTGTAACAGCAATAGCAAAAATAATGCTGGGAAATAGCGTCATGAACGCAGAGCCACACACAGACTTGGCTTTGGCACAGGGGACCCCGCGTGCACCCCCCTTGTCACCCCAGTACGTACTGAGCCCCGGGCGGTGCACCTCTCTCAGGGTGTGGGTCATCCCCGCCTTGTAGCCCAGGAAGGCGGTGAGGTGGACGGGCTTGCTGGGGTCATCCCTGGGCCAGCTGCGCACTTTGCCCCTGTGGCGCCTGCTCCTCTTGTGGGGCAGAAAGCCCAGGTGCCCATGGCGTGGCGCGGAGAACTTGCGGTGAGACTGCACGCATCAAGCAAAAACACTGAAGACCAACAACTGAGTCCAGAAGCATTTCAGCAACAGCCTGCTCCAGAAGTAATGCAAGGACCACACCCCCTACCTGGGTAGCACAAGACGCAGCACGGGTGAATTAAACTCTGCCTAAACTAATGCTTAAAACGGGTCCAATAGATCATCTGGCTTCCTTTTGCATCAATTAAAGGAAAGTGCCAAGTGACCACAGTATGCTGGGCATGCCAGCCCTTTCAAGACTCAATAATTGCTTACACTTATATACAGTAGTAGTTTTCAAAACAGTTTGTCCCTGACATCCCTCAGCACAGTGAACAGTCCACTCCTGGAAGAGGACAGAGACACAGTGACCAGGGTGAGAGCTCTGTAATTCTTTGCACTACATATGTACAATCTTTGCAAGTTGTCTGCTATTTGTGTTGATTATATAGTATAGCATATTTTATCATATAGTATATTTTTTATTTTATCAGATTTTATTGCATTGGCCATTTATATAAATTTGTCATGTCAATAAAGCTTATTTTTTATATAGCCACTGAGTGTCAAACCCCTATAAAGCAGACAGCAGAGCTGCATTTGTATCCCAGTGAATCACGCTGTGTTTTATTGGCAACAGTGCACAAAGTTTGGTATGTATTAAAAAAGGTCACAAGCATCTTAGAAACTACACAGAAAGTATATCTTGGCCATAAAACTAAATGGAGTTTTAAATGGGTGAGTTAGAAACCAAACAGTCCTCTGCAATAACAGCATGTTAAAACCTGAGACGCCATTATTCTCCTACAACATGTCTGCTGGCACAACATAGTTGAACGAGCAGTCCTGTGTCCCACACACTGATCAACGCGGTCCAGGTGGGAAAACACACCAGGCAGAGAGTTAGTCCACAGAAAACATCTACGTTCCACAAGGGAATCAGACACTCACAACACAGGGATAAAGTCTCTGTTTTAGAACAACACAGGCAGGGTACTGACCATGGCTCTGCACAGCGTCGACACCGGGGACCAAAGAGACAGAGATCAAGTGCTGATTTAAGCTCATACTCAAGATGTTGCTCAATCTAAAGACTCAAATTTAGTTGCTGGCCCAGTCCGGTGCAGTATCGATTTCAATCTGGAGGGAAGGCTGCCAGACTATAACAGCACACAGACAGCAGTCAGGTGATTCTGACTAAACGAACTCAAAAGGCTGAGGCAGTCAGAGAGGTGTCTGACGCTGTTAGAGGGGAAACAACAGGAACACCCTTTTTCAGGAAATGGGCTTGTTGTAATATTTTCAATTACTTCATGCAGTAGCTGGAATTCATTAAAGATTTTTTAATCAGATTGTCTTTATTCCTTTCAGAAAAAATCCCAGAATTGATAGCTTACCTTAACAAGCTTTTGCTAATGAAACCTATTTTACATTGTGCAGGTACAAGGCATTTACACTGTACCCTTGCGCCCTAAGAGTATGCAACACTTTAAGACAATACTCGCCCAGAAAATGTAGCCATGCAAAATTAGAACTGACATGTTCACTAAACTTATTACACTGGTATTTTGTCCATAACTAACTGAACTTGAAATTGTAAAACCTTTATTTTTTTTCATGTGGGTTGATATGGTCAGACAGCATATAGGACTTTCATGCTAAACAATTGCGCAGGTTGTTCACAGCCTGGAAATAGCGGCCATTTCCTCTGAGCTCCTCTGCTCACGGCTGTGTGGCCAAATCCTGCGCACTGGCAGAGCCCTGTGTGAGTGACGTGTTCAGGCTCTTTCCTGAAGAGAGCGACAGTGGGTTCCTGTCAGTCAGCGTTCTCAGCCAGGCCAGGGCAGAGGAGAGGCACATTCTGGAGCAAACGTCTACAAAGCACTTGCCAATTCAATGGCTTAGCAGTGGCTCTTAAAATCACCTGACTTCACCCAGAATTCTTGATCATGAGCATCTTAATCAAAAAAAGTATTTACATTCGTCACTTTTAAGCCAGTTAGTCCCACTGAGTGTCGTGGCAGTGAGGGTATTTTTAAAGTATTTTTTTTAATCTACATGTTGTTGTGATAGTGGGAGGGAACAACATGGTGGACATTGTAGGTGAACAGAAATAACCTGTGACTTTCAGTGCAGCCACGTTAGTGAGACACATTAATCAGAATAATTACTGTCATGCATGACAGTAAAATCGTACACTACAATGCATCTGCTATGAAAATATATTTTTTTTAATTTTCCCGGTAGAACTTCGTGAATTTCCGTTATAAGAGGGACGTTTGCTCAGTATAGTTTTCAAGGAGGAAAAAACAATCGGTCCCAATATGTGTAACAAATGTACTTGCCCCTGGACTAATAAATAATATTTATTAATATAATTAAATAATATTTCTAATGTACCGTAATTAACACCAGGATTATTTAGCTATGCAGGCTCATCGCTGTTGCATAATTAACACCGTAGGTTCTGGTTAACATCTTCAAACAAATTTAGCACCACATGCATAAAGTTTATGTAACCTCGACACGCAGTATTCTTGCCCTAAAAACCCATTTCGTTTGTACACATACTGATTACGCCTATCAAGCGATTATTTTTTAAAAAGTACACGAACTACCAACTCCAGGGAAATTCACCTTAAAAAAACAGAGACAATCTCTGAGAGGCATCTGGGTCCACCTGGCGCTGAGTAAAAGTATTACATCGTCGCTCACAACACCTTTGACCTTTGACCCGTGGGGATTTGCGAAAACGCTAGTGACATATAAAAATATATATTTTACTGTAAATCGAAATCATATGTATTAATTCACACTTATGCTCTGTAATATGCGCTTTTTCACACTGGGATTACTCTCGGCGTCTTTGACCTTTATTCCGCCATGTTGGTCGGGTAGTGGAGTCGCGCAGCCTCTGTTGCGTGTGGTGAGAGGGGTTGAGGTCGAGGAGGAGGATTCTAGTTTGTTTTTTAAAATTTGCTCCAAATAATAAAAGAAAAATGCCGGATGACTGGGATAAAGATGTGTACCCCCAGCCGCCTCGACGGACCCCGGTAGTGAACAAACAGACGATTCTTCCAAACCCTTTGGACTATGCGATGAAGATATTCTACTACGCCGTTGACAAGCCGATCACCGTTTTAAGAGGTAAAAGACCACGAAGGTCGATCTGTCGCTTGTTTAAACGTCGTCATGTTATCCAGAAGCTGAAGTTGAGGTCTTGGGACCGTGCAGCGGGTGTGCATGTGATCTCATTTTGTTCGCTTCTGTCTTTATTTTTACTGTATAGTATTCGCTAAACCAGTAATAGTGTCAGCTACACCAGTATAGTATTAGCTACACCAGTACAGTGTCGGCGGAAGGGGATGATATTTCGTATACAGCGCGGACAATGCATCCTGACTAGCTAACAGACTGACGCTTGCACGTTACTTTCACGCCAGCTAAACGTGCTAGGCTTCTCCACAACCTCCAGCACGCTACGATTTATTAAGATACAGGACGCCTGTTTAAATTCCAAGCCGTGATCCTAGAGGCTATAGACCTGGATGTGTTACTAAATCTTAGTATCTCACAACTAACGATTCTGTACTGCCACAGACTGCGGTGAAAAGGTGTATATTAGCGTTGTAGTAACCCTGAGGTCCCCAGACCTGGTCCTGGAGGGTCAGTGTCTGTATGATTTCGCTTTAGAGGAGAGCTAGGATTAGTTCAACAGCCTCTCCAGCCTACAGGTGCTGGTGCTTAAAGGAGACCTCGAACACCTGTGCTAAGCCTTCTCCATTTAAAAGTACAACATTTTATAACTGAGGAGCAGGGGAGCACACCGGAGCTCTGACACCAGTCCATGTAGAGCCCTGTGGAGTGTTGAAGCACCTGAGGTTGTGGTTGCCTGTCCTGTGAAGAGCAGGGGGCTGAGTGGGCATGGCAGCCCTGCAACACTGAGCTCTGCTGCCGTGTCCTTGCAGAATGGATGGATCACCTGCACACGAGGCAGACATTCTATTATTACCACCGGCAGTACCGCCGGGTCCCGGACATGACCGAATGCCAGCAGGGAGACTACCTGTGCTACTACGAAGCGGACATGCAGTGGAAGAGAGACTGGTATGTACCTACAGCTGTCGGTTTTAAATGGGGGCCTGAGTGATTCTGGGTGTCCTCTTGCCTAAGCCTTGTGTTGTTTCATCTTGTGGGAAACGCGCATCAGTCAGTAATGTTTTGTATTCATCAGAGGAAGTGCCCAGACCTGACTCCGTTGTATCTGTTGCATGTAGTGTAGTACTAATGTAGGGAGCTGCATCAGCATGTGTAGTCTGCAGAGGAACAGGAACTGAAAAGAAACACAGTGCTTCAGCATGGAATGACCCTTTACCTGTAACATTGTTGTGTGTTTTGCCATTGGGAAATACTGCAACCTAGCTTAGCTGTGAGCTTGATCTAGGCATCCCTGTTGAAGGGTGAGGGAGGCCGCCATGCAGAAATATGAAGAGATCCTGTTATCTCACGCAGTAAATTGGGCTACTGTTACAGTTCCTCTGAAAGGAAAATAAATAACTGAGCCCTCTGGCTCCCATCCCTTGTACCCCAGCCGAGCAGAAGCAAGCTGACTCCCAGTGGGGCTCTTCCTCTGTGTGGCTGTTCCAGCTGATTAAGATGACTAGTTTGATAGTTAGTGGAGTTCCTTTCAGGGATTTTACAGGTGCCTAATCTAAACACCCGAACGCTGTTTAAGCCGTAAAATAGCTAAAGAGAGAGTGGTAGATGAGTGAGTAGCAAGCCTGATGTGAAGTATGCAAAGAAAGAGGTTTTCACAGTAACATGCCCTTCAATCCTTCCCAGTTTTCCCGTGTGTGTGTTTGGTCTTCAGGCACTCAGTGGTGCCTGTCCCTCAGTGTGTGTTTAGACAGCGGTGGTTTGGCCTACAGCCTGCGCTTGATCTGAATCGCCGCTGCTTCTCTCTGCTCTGCGCAGTATGGTGGATGAGGAGATCGTGAAGGTGATGCAGGAGAGGCTGTCCGCCTGCCAGCAGTGGGAGGGGAAGAGCTACCGGCAGAACTGCGCCAAGCAGCTGCAGCAGTTCACAGAGGTGGCCAATGCCTTCCAGTCCCGATGTGAGTGCCAACAGCGTCTCGGCCTGCTCCGTGTCACCGAGCTCCAGGCATAGCTATATGTGCCTCTCATGGCACCATCCCTAGGTATTTTAAAATAACAGAAGCAAGCCATTTGAGTCCTTCTAGATTTCAGTGTAAAAAGTTCCACGTCAGCTCTTTCTTGCAGTTCGTGTTAGAATTTGGAGTTGGTGCCTATGGGCATTCATTTCTCATGGTGAGGCTACCAGCTATCTTCATGTTCCTAAGGCTTGTCCCCATACCCCCAGATTACAAAGACCTGCTTTGGTTCCACTTCTTACCAGTGGTGGGCTGTGCCACAGGCTGACACTAACACCCTTGCTCTAAAAAAATCCACCTGTTCTCTTCCAGTTCAGGGTCGCGGCAGAGCCTCGATACCGCTGGTACCCTTCCTTATCTCTGCAGACGTGATCCAGAACAGAGGATACAGGTCGCTACATTAATAGCTGCTCTTTAAGCTGTTTTTAGTTTTATTTGATTATACCTTCATTTACACGTAGAAGCACTTCAGCATACTTTTTCAAACATAAAAACAGCCTTACAAGAGCATTAAATTCTGAGTGTAGGAGTACAGGCCCTGAGACTGCTCTGTTCCTTGTCTGTTTGGTTTGGCTGGGTTATATTTTAGGTTCTGGAAGCTTGGTTCCTTCGTTTGGCCAGGTTTGAGATGTGCACTGCCTTCCGAGCTGCAATAGCAGAAGCAGCCTGCTTGAGTTCAGATTTCTTCTGCCTGATGCTGTTCTGTTCTGTGTGATTAAGATGGGGACCTGGGTGCCTACGGCAATGCTCGGAAATGCCTGATGAAGCAGAAACACAAGATGATTGAGGAGCGTCGGAAACAAGCAACTGAAGCCTGAGACCAGACAGCAGTGGACAGCTGTCGGCTGAAGCCTCTCCTACTGCATCACCTCCACTATGTGTTAACCTGTAAAATAAAATGGTTGTAAAAACTGGACTTGGGTTTCTACTTAAATATCTTTTCTTGCTAGAAATGGTTTCATAGGAAAGTTTGCAAACAGAGCCCTGATAAATTTATGATTTGCTACACACTAGTGGAAAGCATTGCATAATGTAGAACTGCAGTGTTCCTTTCTGTCCTGACAACTGTGACAGTTGGCAGATGCCCCACCCACCCCCTTAGACTTAATTTAGAATGACAAGATAGGTCAATATCTATAGTCAATTATGTTCAATTAACTGCATCACTACATGAAACTGAATAGCAATATTCCTACAGTAGCACAATAGGGGATATTGGAGGTCTTACAGACCCAGAGAAGCCACTTGTTCCTGAAGATCAACACCTGTAAGTAATCTGTTCAATTAACTATGATCACCAAGGAATCTGTTCAATTTATCACCAAGGAATTTCTTAAATTGAATCCTTTAAAGTGTTCAATGGATCACAGAGGAATTTGTCTATATAGAAACAAACCTCTAGGACAAGCTAAATTGGTTCTACCCAGGCCCTGGATGGAGACGTCAGTGTATGTTGACCTGCTTTAATAATTTCTTTCAATTCCGATCCAGGTTATTTTTTCAAGGTGCTATTGAAAACCAAGTTTTACAAGGCAGAACCTTGCCCCGTTCCTTCCTTTCCCCTTCTCAGCACAACAACGATCCTGCCCGAGAATAGCATGGCTGGCCCAAAGAAAAGTATTTGAAAACAAAGACACACTGATACTTGGGATGTTTTTATTTTTCTTAAAAAAGAAACAGTTTAGGAGGATGCTGGAACAGTAGACTGGGCTCTCTGCACAGACACTCTGGTATGGGTCTTGGCCAGATGATCAGTAAATTCCTGAAAAGGGAGGAAAAAAAAACATTAAAACAGGAAAGCTTTTAGAAGTTACAAGCTAGCTTTTGTATCCCCCCATGCATTTGTAACCCTACCAGCGTGGGGTCTTTCCACTGAACACAAAGCTCATGTCGTCATTTCAAAGCTGGTTAGGTTTATCTTGAGCAAAGTTTTTACAACCGTTTCAGTTCGGTACCAAAGAGATGACAACCCAATGAGGTGAGCTCACCTGGTATGGGGACTTGGTGAACACAGTCTCCTTCCAGAGGTCAGGAGTCAGGTAGCTGTAGGTCTTGGAGATGGCGTCGAATGTGGCCTTGGCTGCAGAAGAGACAAAATGCCAAGTTATTGATCGTCAGATCACTGGACGGAAAGGAGATAATAAAATCTAACATGTTGAGCACAGAATAAGGAACAGAAAAAACCACAGGAGGGGTTTATCTGCCGTGCATTACTCATTTACTTTATCTCCCAATTAATGCCCATAATACCACAGAGAAGGTAAAACTGAGCAGAGCTGAGAGAACAGTTTCCTTAGTGAAGATCACCATCACAATTGATCTTGCTCAACCCCAAAAAGCAAGGCTGAACTTAAACCAGCTCTCTAAAAGAGAACGTAGACCAGGGGAATCCCCCCACAATTTCTTGAATAGCCAGGAAGTTGTGCAAAATTCAACTGCAACATTTTAATCCACCAAGGGAAGATTTCTAGTGTAGAAGGTTTCAGACACAGCCTCCAGTGCCTATAAAACCTTTGTGGAAGTTGAGACGGGATTCAGGCGTCTGCATGGCGTGCTGACAAACTCACCGAAGTTGCCCAGTGTGGCTGTGCATCCCCGGGCGGAGGTGTAGCAGTCATCAATGCCGGCCATCATGAGCAGCTTCTTCGGCACAGGGGCGGACACGATGCCAGTGCCGCGAGGCGCCGGGATGAGACGCACCAGGACAGAGCCGCAGCGGCCAGTCACCTAGGCAACCCCAACAAGAGCACTGAGCAGACGGGCAACGCACACAGCGCACGCCATGTGTCAGCATACCAGGGGGAGGGGACTGTGGGCTCATTCCCTGCTTCACTATCTGGTGCCTAAAGCGCAGGAATTGCCAAGTGTCACCAGAATGAACAGGGAACCCATGCGCTCCCCCTCCCCCCCCCCCCAACAAGAAAATGCTTAAGGACCAGGGACACCAACCTTGCAAGGGACAGTGTGGGGCTTTCCGATCTTGTTACCCCAGTAGCCTCTCCTCACAGGGACAATGGACAGCTTGGCCAGGATGATGGCACCGCGGATAGCTGTTGCCACTTCCTTGGAGCATTTCACTCCCAGTCCAACGTGGCCATTGTAGTCCCCAATAGCAACAAAGGCCTGTTAAGGGGGGAAAGAGAAAACGTACATTTTACATACTCTTGCTTCTGGCCTCGACAGCATCAATCCTGAAAACTAGCTCTGCAGAAACATTAGAAAAAAATAGACTCCACAGAAATCAAAATCATACTAACAGATCAGAACATAACTTTGTGGAAAACTAGAGGCACTGCATCCTTTACTACTGCCTGGAACCTGCTGCCTAACCCACAGAAAAGGCTGGATGTACACGAGCCACATACCTTGAACCTGGTTCGCTGACCAGCTCTTGTCTGCTTCTGGACAGGCATGATTTTCAGTACCTCATCCTTCAGCGAGGACCCCAGGAAAAAGTCAATGATCTCCGACTCCTGAGACCACAAATCCAATCATTAGGAACAAGAATGTAAATTTAACTAGTTGCCACCTACAGGGTTTGGAAATACACTAGACAGGCCAAAGTAGACTTATCAGTTAAGAGTCCTTCCAAAGAAAACGGTACTTTTCCAACTGAACAGTGGAGACAGGGGGAGTGTAGAGCTTAGCATAATGCACACCTAGGAAGTGGGCTAGACACTTGATTGTTTTTTTTCAATTGGGGAATAATCAAGATCACCCCAAGACTAAGATGCTGAAAGGGGTAACCCAAACCCCTGAAACTCACCCACACCAAACACCAGTTTACAGTAAAGAATTACGCAGAGTTCAGCATCAGAGCAGACTGGCTTTACCTTGATGGGAAGGGAGTACAGATAGATCTCCTCCAGGGATTTGATCTTCATATCCTTGACAAGACGACCGAGCTTGGTCACGGGCACCCACTGGAGAAACAGTGGCAACTTAAAACACTAGCAGGGCAGAGCACCTCACACAGGCCACACACTTACCATGCCACCTCTGCATGGAACGCTTCATCTCAGACACACTGAAGTACTACATTAGCATATCAAGTTTTAATTAGGAAACCTTAAGTAAAAACCACATTCCTCTTGTAAAGTGACCTGCAGGAGTGATTTTCTATCATACAGATTCAGGGCAGAACCACTAAAACTGGTTCAGACTGCTGATCAGCACAGATCCAGTGCAGTTTCCAATGTATTCAATCAGTTTACACTTTACACCCTTCAAAACACAATGAACACTAACAAGCCCATTCTAAGTAACTGAACTTCGTCCTGGACTCCATAATGTTTTACAGACAGGGGCCCAGAACCCAGGAGCAACAGAAGTGGGGTACCCCTCTGTACTCACCTCCTTGTCGTCGGCCTTGCCACCCCTGGCGCCCCGACCTCTTCCACGGCCCCGGCCACGACCCCGGCCGCGCCCCCGGCCCCCAGTGCCAAAGCCCCCGCGAAAACCTCCTCTACCACCGGCGTCGTCCGCCATTTGCTGTGGAGAAGAGCAGAATGACCGTCAAGGCCGCACACGGAAAGATGCCGAACAAAAGGACAGCTGTGTTGATTTCAGTAAGTCAGGAAAGAAACTGCTGGTTAGTCAAAGATGCTTGGAAAAGGTTTAAAATGTAAAAAGCCGCATCTCCGAACACGCAGCCAGGTACAGTATCTCCTGCACACGTTTCCACCTGTATTGGATCACCGGCACCTTGTCAAACAGACTCCTAATCAATGAATTATCCAACAGCATAGCGACCAGGAGGCTGGTCTCGTCTCACCAGTGATGCCAACTCCTGCTGCCCCAAAGGAACAGCACGGGACACACACGAGCCCTTATTTATGCTGGACACTCCGCTGACAGCCCACGGCTGGTACAGGCCAAAGGGGAAACTCGCATAACACGACTCGAAAGTAAAGCTTGCTAACCAAATTAATCTCGCAATTTCTCAACCGCTGAAAAACGCAGAAAGATCAGCTCAAATTATCTCCCCTTTTCTCCACGGGGAATTCAAGCTTTAACTCTTTAGGTAACATATCCACGGTGACAGCGTTAACAGTGTTTACAAAAGACTGAAGCTGGACACTTACTCGGGGGCAGCCTAACCTTTGACCACTAACCACTACGGTCTGCAAGGAGTATGTGTACCATCCCCACACGATCCAGCGCAGCCCTGCGGTAGCCTTCACAGCACACACGAACCCCGGAAAGGGAAAACTGAACCTGCCATGAAATAGCGCAACGGGTCGTGTGGACACCCGAGCCACCGCGGCCTGTGCAGCTGGGAGCCGGCCGGTACCGCACACAGGGGCTACTCCAGAGTCAAGCCTGCTCTATCGAGCAAATACCGGCAATATTCGCATAATGCGGCCTATTATCGTATAACTAGGACAGATTTATAAACGTATATGCCATAGACACAAGGATGTGAGAGATTTGTGAAGGATTAAAAGGGGAATTCGCCAGCACCGCTAGCGGATAACTCTACTTACGTGATATCTGTAACAGGAAGAAGGAAGGGCGCTGGGCTCACGGGCGTTATATAGCAGTCCGGGGCTCGCGAGAGTTCGGGCGCCCCGGGACCCTGTATAACTCATTCTTCTCGCGCCGCAGCCAATGGGGAGTTATGTCCATTCACGTTTCGGGGAGGGAACAGCTCCACTTCCGACCGGACCATGCGGAGGTGAACTGGTAGCCAGATCGGTCAGTTAAGAAAAGGAAGGAGGACAGGTTGTTTTCAGTGGGTAAGGTTTGTCATCTTCACCGTTTGGAGTTTCTAATTTCTTCGTCCTGGTCCGCTGTACCTGGGTTTCTTATAGAGCACGTGTTTTTTTTAGACGGTGTGTATGTACATTGAAGTTTGTCCTTTAAGTCATTTGATTGCAATACGGGACAATTGTGGGTGAATCAGTTTTATTTCTTTTTATTTTTTTAGTTCTGCTGCAATATTACATTCTTATGAAAAAGGTCTATTATTATTCGGTCAATACAGTGTCGTTTTCTGACAGGGGGGCCGTATTTGAGGTTAAAATGCGCTTAAATCTTAAGTCTTCGTGTTCCTGATTGCAAATTCAAAGAAATATTTGTTAGAGGAAAACTGGCTTTTGCGCGCATCTCTGATAGATTACAAATTACTCTTACACGAGACCGTTAAATATTTAGACATTTACGTGCGCATGGTACACAAATCACGGATTAAAAGATGGAGATTGGTTCTGTTCCTGTATCGCCACGTGGTGGTAGGGTGAAGGGACTGATGATCCTTTTGAATGAAGCTTAATTATTGAGTGCATCGGTTTACTGTAGTAGTTGGTTTTCACTGTTCTTTTGTCTTTTGGCTAATTTAACAGACGGAGGGAAAGTGTTTCATGATTGTTTCTGCAGGGGGTGACCGAAATGAAACCGCTTCCGCTGTTTTTTTACTTACCCGCTTTGTCGTTATGTTGCTCTTTTGATTTGCAGAGACGAACGGTTCGCAGCTAAATGTCTAAGCGCAAGAAGCGGTCGTCTTATCCTCTTGAGAGGGATTGGAGTGTCCCGATACGCTCAGGCCGCAGATCGGGACGGGCCTGTTCCCCTCTGCCAGTAATCGAGGCAAGTGAGGCTGTGGATGATGCAGCCTGCTAATGAATAAACCCGCCGTGTTAAAAATGTCTGACCGATGTCCGACCTGAGCCTTTTTCTTTTCTCGTTGGCACATCGTGATGAGGGGGATGTTCATGTTTAGAAACGAGTTACAAAGGCCCTTATTCAAGAAAACTTTTGACTAGTTTGGACTTTGGCACAGTCTGAAAATTATCCGGGACGTGTCCGTCGCCCTGGGTAAGATAACTGTGCACACAGGGAGGTGGCACATTTAAGCTCATTGCCTGCTGATGTGGTGGTGCAATTAAACCCATGTGCCTACAGACGTTTGCTGCAAAGTGAGAGAGGAAGCCCCACAGAAAGCCGAAGGTTTGAGTGTGACCGTTTTCGCTTTACCTTTGTTGGCAGATGGAAACGGCCCAGGCTCGTTGTCTCCGTCGCTGACGGAAGAAAACCGGTTACAGCTGTGTCGCTCTCGGCGGTTTCTGGGAAGGGAATCCCGGAAGAAATGGGGCTGATGCTGTAAGTTGTGTTGGTAGACCAGCAGGCTGCGCTGTGGGTCAGAATTCCCAGTCACTGCCCCAGTATCAAATCCCGTAGGGAGCTGTATCAGCGTGCACGGGCTGTAAAGGTTTATTCCATGCTGACAACAAAAGAGCCAGGCGACACACCCGATGAGGGCTTCACAGTCAGAATGTCACTCTTCTTTTCAGCCTGGAATAAACCTTTACTTGTTCCTTTACTGCCCTGGTATGGTGACACGAGACACTGTGCTGTTATTCAGAGGGGATGTTAAGCCACGTTCCTGACTGCTTGACCATTAGTGATCCCGGTGCATTGTTTGTAAGAGCAGGGTTGTGAGCCCTCGTTTCCTCTCTGGGTTTGTGCAGTCTGGCCTTTCTTAACTTCTGCATGAACTCGTTCGGTGAGGCACTTTCTCTCCTCTCCACCTGATCTGCAGTGCAGTGGAGCCACTTGTCACCCAGGCAGGTGCTGCTCTTCCCCGATGGATGCAGTAGATCCTCTTTGATGTGCAGAGCACTTGGGGCAGAAAACGCCATTCAGGTGCAATTAAGAAAGAATTCACAAGCCTGGTAGTTCAGGTGAAGGTGTGGGGAGGGGTATAGATCTGTAACAGGCCCAAGTTTCTAAGCCCTTTTTAATGCAGGCTGTTTTTCCATGAGTGAGGTTTCAGCTTTTGGCACAGACTGAAAATTACCTGTGATGTATCAGTTGTCACAGGTAAGATTACTGTGCCGACAGGAAGGTGGTACATAAAGCTTTTTGCCCGCTTTTGTAGCGGGACAAATAAACCCATGTGCCTACAGTGACGCCCAGCGTGGAGGTGGGAGAGCTTTAGTAAGGCCAAAGGCTGGTAACTGTGTAATTGTAGTTGTTTTCTGAACTGTAGGGGCTGCGTTCTGCCACAGCGTCTTCTCTGTCCTTTGTGACAACGGGGAACCCCCAGACGTGTTCTGACGAGGAGCTGTCGGGCTGTGTTGGAACCAGGCTTTTCTCACTCCCTGACAGCGGTCCAGGAGAAGCAGAGGAGCACCATCGCTTGGGAATTTGCTGAGGAAGGCAGGGAGTGGGTCAGAGGTGACCTGTGATCTTACAGAGGGTCTTATTTCCCAGTATTTGCAGGCGAAGCTGAAGTCCAAGCGCTTTAAAAGGCGAGACAGTTTCCGTGCAAGGTGCAGCCCAAGCCCACCTGCTGGACTGTGTCGGGCGAGCCCGCACGTTCTGTGCTGTTCCTGACAAGCTGGGACCTGACAGGAGTCTCTGAAAATGGGGGTCCTGCTGTCCCCTGTGGGTGGCAAGATCAGAAGTGCCACACTGGGGGGGGTTGGGGGGACCTGCTCCTGTTCGACTAGTCACCAGGCAAACGAGCTGCTTCTGGGGAGGGTGTGGTCTCCCTGAGTAAGAGGTGCAGTTCTTCCCAACAGTCCTTCCTTCCTCCGAGACCACCAAGGGCAGGGGGCCAAGAGGAACTGTGATTCCTGAGCACTGCCTGATCCACTCCGTAGCCAGACCTTGCTCCCGACAAATCCTGTTGCTTTCCACCCAGATGGGAAACCAGATGATTTTGCTTGTTAAGAGCGAAGTATGGATGAAGACCTAGAGACATCATGGCCCCCAGGGCTTTGATTGGAGACATCAGGCCAAGATCGTGGTCAGAGATGCAGCACACTTGCAATACAGTGATCCCAGTAGAACATTATCGCAGCTTTGACTCAGGGTGACTTGATGACAAGTACACACAGAAGTGTGTTTAAAAACCATTTATTACCTTGCAAAACCATTCTTTAATTCACGCATGGTACAGAGTAAATCCACATTGAAAACATTCATTGGTGTTATTTATATTTTTTCTATTTAATATTCACATCTTCAAGCACTTTATCTTGATATTTTGCGTGTTAATTTGTGCACTCAAATGCTATTCTTCATGGGTCTTTTTCATTTAAAAATTGGCTATCACAATTCCAGAAACAATGATGTAAACATTTAATCACAATTCTAATTATAATTTAATCCTGCTGAATGATGATAATCTAAGGAGGGATTAATATAAGGATACTGTTTCATTTTGGGATTTTATGTAATACTGTGATTTGTACCAATAAAACTTGTTTTAAAACGTATATTGATTGAACTTTGTGACTGTGTGAAGGGTTCTGCAGAGGAAGACAGGTGGGATTCTTACAGCAGTCCTCGGTGGGTGACTCGAACCCTGACCTTGTCTTGTGGTCAACTGTGTAGGAGGGGTTTTGACCTGCGACTGAGTCGGCACTCAAGGCTCAAGTCTTAAATCTTGTTTCCTTAGACGGCACCAAAGTAAATCTCGTGTACAGTGTCTCGATCTGATTTCTAAACTCAGGAGGAAGTAGCTGTCCCCTGACTGGCAATCGGGTGATTTCTGATCATCTCTAAGAGCCATAGTCTCTAGTCTCACGCCCACTAATCCCCCCAGTTCAGTCAGAAAAATCCGCCCATCCATTTTCTGACTGCTTCTTCCAGTGCAGGGTGGCAGGAGAGCCTGACCCCATCTCTGCAGATGGCAGGCACAAGGTTCAACCAGCACGGGATGCCACTCCATCGCCGGGCACACACAGACACAAGCACACTCACCCCAGAGCCAGTTAACCTGAGTGTAGGCTGTGGCAGGAAGCCCATTTGAATAAAGGGAGAGCATACAGACAGCACCCCAGGCCTGGAACTGAGCGCAGGCCCCCGTAGCTGGGGGGCAGCGATGCTG